TTCTGATTGGAGAGGGTGGAGGGTGGCTATCAGAGCTCCTCTCAGGTCTCTACCCTTTAAGGAGGGTGCTCAAGGCAGTCACCTCATCATTTCCCACTCCCATCTTTTCATCATGCCCTCGTGCCTGGTACCCTCTCCCCAACCCCACTCAACCCTCTTTTTACTTTTTTATATGTCACCTTCCCCCCTCAGATTGTGAATTCCTTGAGGACAGCAACTGTCTTTTGTTTTTCTTTACATATCCAATGCTTAGCACAGTGCCTGGTACATAGCAGGCACTTAATAAATGTTTATTGACCATGTTTATTGACATGTTCATCTCATTCTATATCTCCTTTCCTCTCTGCTCAGAGGTGAAAAGTATGGAAGATTCTATACTCTGTATTATAGGCATAAGCTTGCTGGAAACAATATTTATTAATTTCAATTAAACTAATTCTGTTTCTGCTCAGAGGGGAAGAGGTCCAAAAAAGGGCAGAGTTAACCTATGCCACTGAGAATCTAACACAAGCCCATTCTGGAGTTAAAATTCACAGCATTCCCAGAAAACAGATAAAATTTCACAGTCAAGATTAAGGTTAAGCAGAGTTTCAAAGTTTAGCTAAAAATCTGCTTTATTAAACAGAACAAGTCAGATTATTTTTGGCACACCGATGAAGCATCATATTCCTAAAACCACTCAATCCCTTTTCAGTTTCTCTCTTCAAGGGTGCTAGGTAAAGACAAGAGATATTTCCATTAACTGAAGTAATCAAAGACTTCCTTCTTTCCTTAGTCAGATCATTATGCTAAACCAATATGGAGGTATTCTATCAAAAGGGAGAACACGGTTCCTTGAAGTAGATCCTTTTTCCTCCTTATCAAGGGTCTAACTGCTTAAGGTATTGTTTCAGAATTGGGATTTCTCATCCAGGAGTGACCAAGCACTTTAAGTCATCATCCTAATAATTTAATGTGTAGCCCAAAGGAAACAGGTAGCCTCCAATATGTTTCATAGAGGCATGCTTCATCCTCAGTTTTTTAAAGTCATGATGGGGCAGCTAGGTGACTCAGTGGATAGAGCACTGGCCCTGGAGTCAGGAGGACCTGAGTTCAAATCCAGCCTCAGACACATAATACTTCCTAGCTGTGTGACTCTGGGCAAGTCATTTAATCCCAATAGCTTCACGTTTAAAAAAAAAAATTCTGAAGTCTTCTGACATTGTTTTACAATGTTCAATACCATATTGGAGTCATTCTTTACGCTGTTCTGGTTCTGCTCACTTCACTCTGCATCACTTTAAACAAGTCTTCCCCAGTTTCTCTAAAACCATCCCTTCCATTGTTTCTGATGGCTCAATAATATTCTGTTGTCTTCTTATGCCATAATTTGTTCAGCCATTTGTCAACTAATGGGCATTCCTTTAGTTTCTAGGGCTTTAATACAATAAGAAAAGTGCTACAATTTTTTTTTGTTTTCTTTTTTCTTTGAACTTTGTGAGAATATAAGCCTAGTAGTGGTATCACTGGGTCAAAGGCTATGCACCGTATAGTGGCTTTGGATGGATGTATAGTTCCAAATTGCTCTCCAGAAAGGTAGGGCCAATTCATAGTTTCAACACGTTAATTAATTATTAATTAATTCCACACATCAATTAATGTGCCTGTTTTTCCACAGGACCTCCAACACTTATTTTCTTTTTCTGTGATCTTTGTCAAGCTGATGGGTATAAACCTCTGACTTATTTTCATTTTCATTTCTTTTATCATTAATAATCTGGAGCATTTTTTTCATATTGTTGTTAACTTGTACTTCTTTTGAGTACTACCATATCCTTTGATCTATTGGGAGAACACTCCCTATTCTTTATTTATATCAATTTTTATATATCTTATATTTCAAATTGCTTATCAGAGAAATTTGCTGAATAGTTTTTCTTTTTCCCCAGTTAACTTTTGGGGGAGTTCTAATTCTTCTAAGAATCTAACTGTACTGATTTTGTTTGAGCAAAACCTTTTCAATCTTACATAATCAAAAATTTCTATTTTATCTCTTATGATTTATCCCCAGTCCCTCATTTGGTCCAGAGCTCTTCCCCTATCTATAGCTGTAAACAGTATCTCCTTTCTTCTTCCAATTTGTTTACGATATGACATTTTATGTATAGGTTTTGTATCCATTTGGATCTTATAGGAGTATGTGCTGTGAAAGCATGGTCTAAAACTAATTTTTGTTGGGCTGTTTTCCAGCTTTTCATCAGTTTTTGTTGGATATGAGTCCTTATCCTGGTGGTCAGCATCCTTGGATTTATCGAACACTGTGCTACTGCCCTGCATTGCTTCCGGGTCTTCTGTATATAATCTGTTCCATTGACCAACTTTCCTAATTTTTGGCTAGTATTAAATAATTTTGATTTGTACTGCTTAGTTATATGGTTTGAGATGCTAGATCTCACTTTCTTTTCATTATTACCCTTGCGATTCTTGACTTATTGTTCCTTCAGATTAATTTTTTTTTTGATTTTGTCTAATTCTATAAATAACTCATTGGTACATCGATTGGCATAGCACTGACTCCATAAATTAATTTAGACAGTATTCTCATTTTCATTACATTGGCATGGCCCAATCATGATCAATCAATAGCTCTCCTATTACTTAAATCTTCATTTAAGCAAGAGTGTTTTGGAGTCCTATTCCTTTTGTGTATATATCTTAGCTGGCAGACATTCATAACAACAACAATAATAACAACAATAACAACATTTATACAATGCCTCCTGCATGCCAGACACTATACTAAGTGCTTTATAGATATAATCTCATTTGATCTTCCCAACAACCCTGGGAGGTAGGTGATATTCTCTCCATTTTACAGTTGAGGAAACTGAGGCAAACAGAAGTTACGTGATTTGCCCAAGGTCACAAGGCTAATAAATTTCCACGGCCAATTTTGAACTCAAGTCTTCCTGACTCTAAGCTCAGAACTCTGTCCTACACTGACTAGTTGCCTAATATCTGACTTCCCAATATTTTATGGATTTTGTAGTTATTTGTAATAGAATTTCTTCTTATCTCTCTTCTTGGATTTTGTTGTTAATATACAGAAAGACTGATGATTTTTGTAAGTTTATTATATATTCTACTGCTATTACTACTACTACTACTATTATCACATGTCTTGGAATTATTGATTGTTTTAATTAGCTTTTAGTTGAATGTCTAAGAGGATTCTTTACCTTTTTTGTCAGTCTGGTGAAATTTATCAACGCCTCATTGAAGCTCATTGATTGATTGGAGCCTGAGCCCATAGATACTATTTTTATTTGTTTGTTTGTTTGTTTTAATTTTTAACATTTGTTTTTATAATATTTTGAGTTCCAATTTTTTTCTACCTCCCTCTCTCCCCTCCCCCATCCCCAAGACGGCAAGCAATCTGATATAGGCTATATACATGTGCAGTCAAATTAAACATATTTCCACATGACATAGATGTTATTTTAAAAGTTAAAAGAAGGACCAAAATTAAAGTTATCCCCTTTTGAGGGTTTCTTCTCAGTATTTTATACTATATGTCATTCTCCTTCCTTTCCAAATGAAACACACTAGTAGCAGTTTCTTCACTTGGACTATTACTTTGGCCTCCAATAGATTTTCCCTAATCCAACCCCAACTTTTCACAACTGCTAAAGTAATCTTCCTATGGCACAGGTCTGAGCATGTCACTTCCCTGCTCAAAACCTTCAGGGGATCCTCCTACTCTAGTCTAGTTAGGCAGCAACATGTTTCTTACTAAGTGCCAAGCACTGTACTGTAAATATAGAAACAAGAATAGACAAAACAAAACAAAAACAAACCAAAAAAAAAGAGAGTTCCTGCCCTCAGGGAGCTCACAGTCTAAAGGGGAGATGATGTGCAAACAAGTATGTATATAGAAGAGATATACAAGTAAACTAGAGGTGATCTCAGAGAGAAGGCACTAGCAGTGGGAGATGGGAGGTAAGAACTGGGAAATGACTCTTGATGAAGGTAGCATTTGAACAGAGTCTTGAAGGAATGAAGGAAGACAAACTCCTTAGCCAAGTATTTAAGACCCCCTCTTACCTACCCACAATCTGACTGCCCCCTACATTTCTAACAATATTCTGCCCTTCACTTGCTCTACATTCCCAACAAACTAGACCTTCCAGAACTCAACACCCCATCTCTTACCCCACTATTCCCCAAACTTAGAAGGCAATCTCCACATTTCCATCTCAGAATCTTTGTCTTCCTTCAAGTCTCAGTTCAAGTATCACATCATCTGTGAAGGATCCTACAACTCTTGAATGGAATTGGTGACATTTAGGGTGATAATAATGATAATGATGATGACGATAATGATAATAATAATAATAATAATGATATGAAGAAGAAGAAGGAGGAGGAGGAGGAGAATAGAAGAAGCATTAATACAGCACTTGAAGATTTACAAAAAGCTTTCCAAATATTATCTCATTTTATCCTTATAACCATTCTGGAAGGCAGGAGCTATTATTATCCCTATTTTACAAAAGAGAAGAATGAGGCAGAGATTAAGTCACTTGCCCAGGTCACACAGACAGCAAGTGTCTGATGAAGGAGTTGCCTTCCAGCCTCTAGCTATTGCACCATCTAGTTGCCTATAAAGATGGACCTTTCCTGCAAGTAAAAGAAGAATTGGATATATGCAATGTCCATACTCATTTCATGTTCACTTGATCAAAGCAAATGTAATTAGTTAAGAGATAGGAGAGGAGTTAAGGGGGCATTGATGTGTGATTTAACCAATCAGAGATTAATACATGATGTCTTAAAATTCTTACTATAAAACTGAAATGAAGTCAGAGTATTGCAATAAATACTTCTGAAGTACATGTTGGTATTCTCTTTATCCAGTTTTAGCGAAGTCCGAAAGAAAGCCCAAGCACAGCCCTCTGGTTAGCCCTTGACCCTGTCCTTCTGGCAAAGTTGTATGAACCTATGTTTTCCCTCCAATTCAGGCACTTTAATTGTTCTGAAACATCCCTATCCATGCCAAGTGGAAGAGCCATCCATCTACGAATCGGTCAGGGTTCACACAGCAATGCAGACAGGAAGGACAGAGAGTGACCTGGTACCCACAGCTCCTTCAGTAAGTAACTATCGCGCTGCTCAGAAGCCAGCTTTGTGAGAGGGGGGGAAGGGGAGGGAGGAAGGGAGGGGGAGAGACAGAGACAGAGAGACAGATGGAGACAGGGACAGAGAGACAGAGAGAGAGAAAACACTCAACCTAAAAGCAATTTCTGGGACAAGTTTCTGGGTTTCTTGAACTGAAAGGATGTAAGATACAGTGGATGGAAAACTAGTCTCTGAATCAGGAAGACCTGCCTCTGGTACAAATTGATTATGCGACCCTGGACAAGTCACTTGAGTTCTCAGTGCCCCCAGGGATGCCTCTAAGATACTAAGTTGCAAAGCAGATGCCAACCTGTTTTGATAGAGAAAGTTTCCCTACCCAACGGGATCCCAAGTTCTGATCAATCAGTCGGACAACTAGCATTTATTAACTACCTACTATGTGCTAGGCTGTGTGCTAAGTGATAGAGAAAGAATAAAGCCAAAAGACAATGCTTGCTCTCAAGAGGCTCATGGTCTAAAGAAAGCAAACTTGGTCAGTAAGTATTCTTTTACATATGGATAATATTCTAACTCACGACTATGGTAGCCGTAGTAAGTGAGAGATGTAACCCCCAAGGATCCGGTCTGACCCCTTAATCCAGTTCATCTGAGCCGTGGAAAGTACTGAACAAATATAGACTGCTTACAGGCATTCTTTCAACTTTTTATGAAAGACTTCTAAATGTGAGCAGGATGCCATCTTTATGGTGGAATTGGTAGAATGATAGATACTTGGTAAAATATATGGCCTGTGAGTCTGCTGTATGTGATAGACATAAAATCACATGATATTACTCACTCTTATTCTCCTGTTTTATTGAGATATGAAATAACTTAACCAAACAAGATACTCGTACATATGGGAAGGGAAAAAACAAAACCCCGAATCATTGCTCTGCCTAACTGACCGCTTCAGAGAGTGTCCATTAAATTCCTATTTGCTATGAAGCAGGAGCTAGTGCTCACCAGGCTGCCTGATCTTCTGTCCCACTGGCAATCCCCACTCCCTTCGTCACTCCAGAATTCTGGTCTTACTGTGAGGAGCATTGAAACAGCTGGTGGACATGATTGCCAAAGCATTTTTTATCTCTAAAAAATGTGGAGTGCCCAAGAGGTGATTTGGAACTCAGTCTGAGAATGCCCCTGAAGCAAAAGGCAAGGCTCAAAATGGGCGTGAGGCACATTTCAAGATCAAGAGATTGTAATCCAAAGTGGTGTACAGATAACTTCTGAGGCTTGAGAAGAGAGGAGTTGAAAGACCTAAAGCCAAATCCAGTACTCCTCTAGAATAGAAAAGAGATGTAAGGGCAGATGTCATGCAGTATGGAGCCCCTGGTTCCACTAACTTCTCACTTCTTTCCTAGCTGGGCACCAAAGAAGGATACCTAACGAAACAAGGGGGACTAGTGAAGGTAAGACCTGGTTTTGTAAGTGACGCCTAAAGAGACGGAAAGTAAGCAGATAGCCTAGAGTCTAACTGGACTCCTAAATTTGACATAGTGACTCTGTTCTTAGATGTATTCAATGGACCATTATGCTTTCATTTTTAACAGAAAGAATTATTATTCTTGGGGTAGCTAGGTGGCACAGTAGATAGAGCTCTGGCCTGAGTCAGGAGGAGCCGAGTTCAAATCCAGCCTCAGACACTTGATACTTAATAGCCGTGTGACCCTGGGCAAGTCACTTAACCCTGATCGCTCTACCAAAAAGCTAAAAAAAAAAAGAATTATTATTCTTTTCTTGGTGATAAATTACACATATATATGTTTAAATGTAATATATCTCATTAGATATTATATTATACATATGTTGCATAATATATAATAGTGTATATTGTGATATATTTATGCATATATGTAAGTATAATATAATGTATAACATGTACATTATATAACATAATGTATAATATAATATTATATATAACTATAGAATATATATTTAAACACATATGTATATACTTGTACAAGTCACTTAATGTTTCAGAGCACGTGATGAATGGCATTGCTAGAGGGAGTTTCTCAACTGGGAGTTGCCTATACCAGTGGAATCACAGGTCTGGCCTAAAATTAATTCATTAATTTATTTATTAATGGAGCCAGTGAATTGCGATAGCTAATTATTCAAAACTAGGAAAGCGACTTCAAAGTTCCAAGTCAAATACCTACAAAGACGTTTATGATTTACAACCAAGGTGCTTCTTAACAGGCTCATTGAGAGGGAAGGTAGCAAATTTATTCTAGAAAAATTTCTAGAAAGCTCCCTCTGCCTAATTTTTGACCTTATTATAAAATTCAGTTGGTACAAATTCAGTTCCTTTAAAATTCCAGTTCCTAAAAATTTAGCAGGCTGATTTGGCCATAGGAGATTGTCTAAGAAATACCAGAAAACAAAATTACCATAATACTGGACTAGGATATTTGACTGTCCCCATTTTATGAGCTTGTCCTTTTCAGTGTTTCACCTTGATATCCCAAGAAAATGTCTATGAACAAGTAATTAGCTCATTTTGCCCAATTTTAAGGTGAGGGACATGAATTACTTACTAGGAATTGTTCTGTGTGAAATTGAAAAGATTGTTCTTCCATGGGGCTATCTAGGCCACAAACATCTTACAGAATAAAGAGATACTACCAAGTAAAAGGCAGAACCAGGCCTAGATTCTGCCCCACTTCCCACAATTCGATCTTCTTCCTGTGATCTTCTTAGAAAAGAGGTGGGTGGGAATAATGCCTCTCGTTTTTATGCAATATTTCAATACCATTTCCTACTTAATACAACATAAAATGCCCCCATCACCTGAGCTACTTTGGGAGTCAAGGAAATGATGTATTTTAATATTGACAATAGCATTTTATAAGCTTATTTTTTAATTCATGTTTTTAAATTCAACAATTTAATTTTGAAAAGTAATTTCAATGTTTACTCAACACTGAATCACATTTCTGCATTTGATCTAAGCAAGCTGTCTATAAATTTGCACATAGACTTTTTTTTTGGCATGTTGACCATTACAGATTTACTATAGGGTTGGTTGTTAATTACATGCTGGGAGAATCAGTGATTCAGCTGTGTGGGTTTTCTGTCCATGAATAACAGATCACAATCTTAGTAGTTTCTACCATGGGTTACTAAGGCAGAAAAATACTCATTACGTAGTGTCTACTCTCCCCACTGATGATGTGTTTATTGTGGGAAATAGACCCAGGGTTTTGAGAGGAAATATTTTGTTGGTTCTTTTTTTCTTTACTATGCTATTTCGTTATATGCCTTTGATTTACTTTTATTGTGTCCTCCTAAAAAGACAGTACATTAGTGGGACTTATTGAGCTATGGTTTTGAGTTCCTTGAACCTGGAAATCCAGTCTACACATAGAGAGGACCCTCAGTGCTATTAGATATTTCCCATTTGAAGACACTCTCAATCACTTTTCTCTGAAGTGATCTTACAAGAATACTCTTTAATCCTATGCTAGTTTTTTTTTTAACAAAGAAAATACTTTAGCTCAAGTATTATTTTTCTTTTTATTCAAAACCAACACATTTTCTTTCTTTGTCCTCCTTCCTCCAAACTCGCCCTAGACTTGGAAAACCAGGTGGTTCACTTTGCATAGGAATGAATTGAAATACTTCAAAGACCAAATGGTGAGTAGCAGATTGAAATATAGTATCATTTGAAAAAAAAAATACTCCAGAGGAAAACAAGATCTTTGAAATGCCTTACATCTCTTAAATTCTTATTCTTCTATCTGAAATGCCCAGGGCACAATTGGTGGTCTGATTCTGCTGAGAAGAATCGGTCAACAAAAACGTTATGTTTTTAGCCCATTATCTAGGACTACACAGAATGAAGCATGATGGGAATTATAAACAGAGGGCATCTTAGTCTAATCTGACATCAAATCCAATTCCCTCATTTATAGGTAACACAGTATGACAGGGTGAGATACTATGTGTAAAGCACTTAGTGCCTGAAACATAGTAGGTACTTAATAAATGTTTGCTCTCTTCTCTCTTCTCCTCCCCCCTCTTTGTTATTGTCCAGTCATCTTCATTCGTGACTGACTGTGACCCAATTTGGTGTTTTCTTGGCAAAGATACTGGCCATTTCCTTCTCCAGCTCATTTTACAGATGAGGAAACTGAGGCAAGCAAGGTTAAGTGACTTGCCTAAGGTCACACAGGAAACGGAAGAGCCAGGGGTTGAAAATCTGACCTCAAATCCAAGCCAACAACTAGCATTTAGGAAGCTCTTTCCTGAGAGTGTCCAAAGAGTGTACTCTCCAGCCCTGCCACTAGCTTGTTTTTTCTTGGGTGAGAAGTTTCACATCTCTGGGCCTCAGTTTCTTCATCTGTAAAATAAAGCAGTTGGGTTAGATGGCCTCTGAGATCCCTTCTTGCCTAGATCTTATGATGTCTAAGCTCCCATTTCTTCATCTGCAACTTGAGGATAACCACAGCTTCCATACCTACTTCATAGGATTGCTGGGAAGAGCAAATGAGAAACAACATAGATGAAAACTGTAAGGTGCTAGGTTGTGAAGCACTGAACAAATGTAAAGCACTGAGTTATCATTTGTCCAGCTCATACACCACACCTATAGCTGCTTCATTTCTCCCTTCTTCCCCGAGGAGGTAAAATCCTAGAACATTATAGCTGGAAGAGAACCCAGAGCCCATCCTGCTCATTTTACCGATGAGCCATTTCCGGCAGCAAAGCTTTGCTGACACCCTTAATTGTCTTGTTGTCTCCCTCTCCAAATTATCATGTATATGACAATCTGATTACATGTTGTATTACTATCGCTCCCACATATTCAGAAGTTTCTTCAGGGCAAGGACTGTTTTTCTTCCTTTTTTGTGTGCCCAGTACCTGGGTTCACAGGCTTGGGTTGGATTGGGTTGGGTTCAGTTAGATGAGGAAATGGAAGGAAGCCCACATGAGTTCATAGACTTGGGCTGGGCTGGGTTGGATGAGAAAATTGAGACCCAAAGCCATTCAGACACTCCAGGTTATGCAGTTAGCAGGTAGAACCCTAGAACCCAGGTCCCCTGATTTCCACTCTCCTTCCATTAGACACATTCCATTTGACACTAGTCAAAAGCTAGGAGGAAAATGTAATTGTCTCTGATAGGTAAAAATCCTTTCATATGAAATTAAAGCGGGAAATTCAAATCCATCTCTATGTGATGCTCAGGGTCTTGAGTCCTTAAAAACCTTTCGTGTGTGATGCCTGCAAATAAAATGTACTTTCTTATTTCAGTGCTCCTTGGTGGAAGTAAAAGCTGTCATAGTCATCTTGGGAAAGGCTTACTGGGGAATATGAGCAATGACCATGCTCCAGGAGTCTTCACATTCAAACATGATACTCTATCTTATTTTCCAGACACCAGAGCCAATTCGGACACTAGATCTGACAGAATGCTCAGCTGTGCAGTTTGATTACACACAGGAAAAAGTTAATTGTTTCTGGTGAGTTGTGATATAAAAAGAAAATTCTTGCTCATTCTTCTTTCTTGCAAAACAAAAAAAGACCATAGACTATGCATCATCGTCTCAATATGTTGAAACGTTTGTGATCTTGGACTAATGGCCATATGAAAAGCCCCAACCTGTGATGTTTAGAAGACCAGGAGACATGATGAAAATGTGCAGGAAGGGTATTCTAGTTTTCTCATTTTAACTGCACACTTAACATTTCCCCTCCTAACAAACACACTGACCAAACCCTACTGGTATCTCATTGCCTCTGAGACACACTTACCCTCCTCTGGTGGTCAAAGCCCTTCCCATTCAGGCTCCAGACTGCTTTTCCAGGCTTTTTACACATTCATTCAACCGTGCAGTGAAATTGATCTTGCTGTTTCTGGGACACAGCAATCCCATCTCCTGTCTTCCAATACTATCTCCCTGTGCCTGCGATATATGACTTCCTCACCTTTACCCTTTAGAATCCTCAGCTACCTTCAAAGTTTAGTGCCACCATGAAGTCTTTTCTGACCCTCCACAGATACTATCTCCATCCCCCAATTACTTTGTATTAATTTTTCTATATATTTGACATTTATTTAAATGTGGGTGTTATCCCTGCCCCCAGAGGAATATACACTTTCACTTTTATTTTTGCATTCCCATGGGCCTTGCAAATAGTAGGCATTTAATGTTTGCTGATTGTTCCTTGGTGTTTGCAAGAGTTACTGAGACAGTAGCAAGGGAGCAGATAAAGGCCAGAGCCAGGTTTATAAATCAAATTCCTGACTTTGTAACCAAGGAGATAGACAAATGAACTATCTGTTCTTTAAATAGATCAAGTGAGCTGGTCGATGTTCTCGCTGAGCTGAAATGAATGTTGAGAAGGGATTGGCTGCCTTCATATATGAAGGACAACCCTCTCTCATACCGGATGAACACAAATAAAGTCTACAGGCTTCTATGGGGAAACACTGACCTTGACAGTCTCAGCAAGCAACAGGCAATGTCTTTCTGTTTTGGTTTACTCTTCAAATCAAGTAACAGTTTGGACTAGAAATCCTCTGATGGATGAGATGGGTGAAGAGGACATTATGGCCTTATGCCCATTCCATGGAAGGATGCATGAGAGCATTAATGGGAAGGTTTTTGGAAGCAGCCTAGACTTTATCTTTCTCATCTTTGAATTCTTATTAGACAAGAATATGACCTGTCATAATTACAGAAATTTTGGTAGGCCTACCTCTGATCTCCTATGCTCAAGGAATTGCTCCCTAGATCCCAGTCCTTTCAAAACCTTTACTGAACCTTTTACCAAATTCTTTTCCTCCAAGAAAGATGGGGGCAGGAGATGGGAGGACAGGGGAGGAAAGATGCTTTGTTATATCTAAATTGTTCCTTTTTTCCTTCCCCCACAGCTTAGTATTTCCATATAGGACTTTTTATTTATGTGCAAAAACAGGAGTAGAAGCAGATGAGTGGATTAAGATACTACGATGGAAAATGGTAATTTATCAAGACCCACTATTGTGCTAAGCTCTTTGAAAATGTTTTATTTCTTTCAAACCCCACCTGCATTTTTTTCCAAACTAACTTAGAAGGAAATTGATCACTTGTAGTATGGCCTGTGGGGTAGGGGATAAAGAATTGGGTATGCGATTTAATTCATTTCAGGGAACTCTGGGGTAAGGACACTCCCCCTTCCAATATAGGTAGGTTTATGGAACAACTTTATAATTTGCATAACAACTTTCTGAGGGAAGGCTGGATTAATACCGATCTGCTGTCTCTTGAAACCCGGCCAGCCTGATTTATAGAGGTAGTCGATCCCAGTCTACAAGTGGAGAACAGTGGGGATTGGGGAATCCAACGATGGGAGTTTACGCAAATTTCTAATACTAGGTAAAGATACTTGTAGGGGCAGCCTGAAAAATGACCAGTTATCCATAGCTAGCAACCAACTGTCCTAGTTGAGGGAAAAAAGCTAACTTCATATCCTGTACTTTGTAGATATTCCCCAAAAGGTAGAGTGATTTATAACAGATTTATAATATAATATTTATAATATAGATTTATAATAGAAAATTTTGCAAGTCTTTGTGTTGTTTTTACATTTTGTTTGCCTTTTTTTTTGCAAGTTGTTCGCCAAGTCCTAGTTCCAGTTCCTGGAGACATACTACACACACATATGGTGTGTATGTGTATATGTGTATATACATTTTAATGGATTATCCACTAGTGTTTAGTTCAAACATCTCTCATCCTCATCAAGAATTCCTTGATGCCTGCAAAAGGACATTACCCTCAAGAACCTGAAAGCCTTACTGAATACTCTTTACTATACACAGAAATTTTTTCTTCAATGAATGACCTAAATGCCTACAGCATTCATGCTTATGTTTTCCCAATATATTGGAAATTTAGTGATCAAACAGGTACCTTGTCATTGGGAATGCTTTACCTGAAGATGAATCTCAGGCCATGTTTGGGAGAGACAAGGAGATATCCAAGTGTAGATTACATAGGAGTAGCAGGGAATATGTCTGGAAAGGTGTATGAGCTCATGTGTGTGTAGGATGGGAGGTGGGGGGAATGTGGTTTATTGGAACACCTTCAAAACGTTCCCCTAGATATATAAATAGATAAATAGGATTGGTGTGTATGCACAGATATAAATCTATAATTGCCCGAGTGTCTTCAGTATTCATCATCTATTATTTCACATTTGGGAGACCTTCAAACTATGCTATGTATGTCAATGTTATAACTGGTGTTATGGGAGGAAAAACAAAGGTTTGCAAATGTGCATGTGATTTCTTGTTTTGTTTTTCAGTCACAAATAAAGAAGCAGTCGGGGCAGGATGGTGGCACCATGAGGTCTCCCTCCTTCTTTTACAAGTAGCCCCTTTCTGGCAAGTGATGTCCATTCTCCCCCAGAGGCAGGCTGTTCCACAATGCTGTAAATGCTGGTGGACTTAGGAGGAACGTTAATTCCAAGGACAAATAACAGATGACTGGATGTGTTCTTCAAGAATGTGACACGTCGGCCAACCCACGGAAACGTCTGTCCTGTTCAGATACTGCTATCTCCTGGAGTTGGCACAATCATCATTTTGGTGGAAGCGTGGATTTGATAATAATAAAAATAGCTCACTTTTATCCAGCGCTTGATCTCATTTCATCCTCGCAACACTCCTGTGACGCAGGTGCTACTAATCTCCCCATTTTTCAGATGAGAAAACTAAGGCTCCAAGAAGTTCTTTGACTTGCCCAGATTCACACAGCCAGTCATTTGTCTGAGGCAGAATTTAAACTTAGGGCTTCTGGACTATACTCTATCTGCTACATAATGTTGCCTTAAAACTTTGGATGCCTAGGGGGCAGCTAGGTGGTGCAATGGGTAGAGCGCTGGCCCTGAAGTCAGGAGTACCTGAGTTCAAATCTGGCCTTGGACCAAACACTTGACACTTACTAGCTGTGTGACCCTGGGCAAGTCACTTAACCCCAATTGCCAAAAAGTTAAAAAAAAAACTTTGGATGCCTATAGTGATTTCATTGTTACGACAAAAACACCAGGGTCAAATGTTTTCTTTCTAGCTGTAAATTGGAAGAATTACAGGCAACATGTTTTGTAGGCAGCTCATCTACTACCTATTATCTGGGAATATGCTACTTTGGGGAACAAAGCTCTTTTCCTTTCAGTGATGACATTGTTGCTCAGTCCTGTCCGACTCTTCGTGAACCCATTTGAGGTTTTCTTGGCAAAGATACTGGATCAATTTGTCATTTCCTTTCAGTACAATAAACTTTTATTGAGCACCTACTGTACTCTAAGAACTATAATAGGAATTAGAACTAATAGATATCAAAAATACTATTTTGATGAAAAAAATTTTTCGAAAACTAAAACCTGGAAGATAACACAAGTAAGTCTATAGCTTTGAGGTCTACTGCATTGTCTTTTGTAAGTATGGTAAAACAAAGCAAAGTCAAAGAAACATGTTTTATGCTTTTCTATGGGTAGTTGTCTACATAGTGGGAAAGTATAAAGTGTCAAAAATCAATAAACTAAGTGACATGTTGCTGGAACTTGACTATGTCAAAAACAAGAGTCCCATTGCACGGATTAAATGAATTCATCATGGCAGACACTCCCTGACTCAGGCCAACAGAGATCTAAAGGACTTCTTATTATTTAGAGTTTCTTCTCTCGGTGTGGCATGGGTGGAAAGTGCACTGGTTCAGGAGTTACAGGACCTGGGTTCAAAGCCTGCTTTTTGTCCAGTCTTGGGCAAGCGACCAACCTCTCTGGGTCTGTTTTCTCCTCTGTAAAGGGAGTTTGGCCAGATTAAGTCCTTTTGAGCTCTAATGACCCTATAACCTTAATTTTGGTATTAATCCAAAGATTCCTAAGGATTCCTAAGCACTTACAACCTTGTAATATAGGAACTTATCTCCAACGCAGCTTCCTACAAGCTCACACCAGATTTGCTGTACCACTGTGCAAAAGTACGTGCGACATCAATAAAAACAGGCATACAGAACGCTTTAGAGTTAAGAAAAAGCAGAATGAACTGGGTGGGGAGGGAATATAGAGAGAGGAAATGTTGGATTTATGGTCCTGGGAAATCACCTCACCCTTTGTAAAGTGCGGGCCTCCTTGTCCTCTCTAAAATGAAGATGCTGGCCTGGATCTCAAAGGTCCCTCGAGCTTCAAAATCTCGTATTCTGGGATTCTAAAAGTACTGTTGAAACAAAGCTCACAGAAAAAAAAAAGAAACAAAAGCTCACAGGTTAAGGCTCTAGCCCTTTATAATCACTTTGGTGCTTTCCTTTATTGCTGTGTTTTTTCTTTCGGTGAGGCAATTGAAGTTAAATGACTTGCCCAGGGTCACACTGCTAGTAAGCATTATATCTGAGGCTACATTTGAACTGAGGTCCTCCTGACTTCAGGGCCGCTGCTCTATCCACTGCACCACCTAGCTGCCCCACCGCTCTCCTTTATTTAGGTAGCAATTTGAAGGTGAATTTTGGAATGAAAAGATTTTAGTCCAGGGGACTCTTGCTCAGCCTGTACACTAAAACCACGCTGTGGATGAGGCTAGGTTGTATTTTAAGGCTGTTGTTACCTCCTGTTATTAATTCCCTGAGAAAGAGACTCATGTGGACTCAAGCTACAGAGAATGTTGGATTCTGCACATTCAAGCAAAGCTCCAATGAGGGTTTTTTGGATTATAGCGGATGCTGTGAGATAAAGCAAATGTTCAGGCTGTACTCAATTGGGCGATACTTAAAATCACAAGAAATTGAGCAAGCATGGATGTATATTCAGAGAGAAGTTAGTCTTTTTTTTTTTTAAATATCTAGTTGATTGGGTCAAAAAAGGATGTTTTTTATGTGGGGCCATAAATGTTTTAGAATTAACTGTGTGCCATTTTCATAGGATGTTATGTATTTATTTATATACTTTTGCTCGGCTTATTAAAAATAGCATTACTTTCCAACATGTGTGTCGCTTGACTGTTTTTAATATTTATTGATTAAAAAGACAACGGGTAACAATTTACATCCTCTGGGTCTTTAAGGTTACAAATCACTTTTCTAACAATAACTTTGTGAGGTAGGCAGTCCAAATGCTATTCTCCCCATTTTACAGATAGGGGAACTCACCAGGATGAGAGTACGAATGAAAATAATTTTTTTTGCTTTTCATGGCATTTCTTATACCACATTTTAATTAAGATACTTAAATTTTTTTTTGAATCTACAAATTTACATAGACAGCAATTTCCAGATATTGATATGCATAAACACTCAAACTATATGCCATATAATAATAATAACCGCTATTTATTTAGCACTTCAAAGTTTGCAAAGCACTTTACATACATTATCTGATTTGATTGTCACAACCACCTGGGAAATACCTTTGGTATTACCACTCCCATTTTCCTGGAAACTGAGTCTTAGAGAAGTTAAGTGATTTGCCCAGGATCATGAACTTAAGTCTTCCTGATTTTAACTCTGGTAGTTCCACTACCCCACACAGTTCCTCCACAATAATTGGCATTCATTAAATGCTGTGCTTGCTAGTTGTTTGAAAATAGGTATGTATGTCTATTTACAGGACATCTCAAAAATCTTAAGAGCAATTTAAGCTTAACTAAAGCTTAAACCACATTGACTAGAAGTATCTATAAATTATGTATATAGGTATACACACACACACACATATATATATAATTACAGGCATCCTATTTAAAAATATGAAAGGAAATATTTTCCCATTAGGCAGAATTAAAGATAGCAAAGATTAAACATCATATATACTTTTCTACAAGTATCCAAAAGACAAAACTCCACCATGGCAGGCACAAAATGTAATTATAGCAATTCAGGTGGTATAAACCATGTCCCTAAATCAACACTGGTAACTCTAAGTAGTTTATAAAGACCAGCTCCAAACTCTCACTGCAGCGTAAAGTGATCCCAGCTCATTAAAGTTAGGACAGAGGAGCACTCCTCTGTCCCCCGTTTCTGTTCTTTCTCTTCCTGTCTCCATGCCTCTCATACTCTCGCCATGTTTGGAATGGACTTCCCTTCTTCCCATTCCTAGTCTCTATTTTGATCTCCTTCTCTTTCTCCAATGCAGGTTACATGAAATCTTCCCTGACTTAAGAGTGCACTGTCTGGTCCTTTCCTGTGCACTCACTCCTTTGCATTGTAGCATCACGGCTGATGTGCCAGCCACTGGCCAGCAGTAAGAGTCAGGTGCCATCTATCAAACCCTCATCTCCGCCTCTTAAGGCAGAATGAGTTACCGCCTCTCTACACCTCTGGGACAATCTAAGTGTCTTTTGGATACTTGGCCTCAGTTTTTTGACACTGCTCTCCATGACCTCTCTTCCTCTGTCTGAACCATCCCTCTCAGTCTCCTTAACCTGGTCTGACCTTCTATGCCTGGGTATACCCCAGGGCCATCTCCTGAGGTCCCATGGATTAAGCTATCAGGTACCCCCATCCTAGTTCAGGTCCTCATCACCTCTTGTCTAGACCAGTCAGATTCATGGCTCAGCCCCTGTCCCACAAAGAAAAACTCCTTACGTTCTTCTTATCCTTACAAGTGGGCCTCATTCACCTCCTGTCCCTTCCCCCCAATACTATATGATGACTAAGTAGTCAAGCTATACTTTTACAAAATACTATTTTATTTAGACCCTTATTTAGGAAAAGGAAAAAGAACTGTTGTATTATGGTATTCATATAAATGTCACAAACCAAAGCTTTGATACTGATTTTCACATTTAAATTGTACAAAGAGAAAAACATCAAAATACTGATTGGTTATTGACAGCTGAATGTAAATCTAAAGCGACAGATTTCTTTTTAGACATACCACACTTTAAAGAGAAATACCAATTAGTGACGCTTTCTTAGATCTCCACCTCACAATGATATAAACAGGGGTAGTTAGTGATTGTACTGGTTTATTACTGCTGTTAGACGCTGGCTTCCTCGCACTCAGTGCAGACACACAACACGGCACACACAAAAATAAGTTCTCTATTATTCACAATAAAGCAATAGCATACACAGGGCAGGGCCTACCTACTGCAGGCCTGTATGTACTGTACACAACAGGAGACCCTTAGCTGGCTCAGTCTGATTCTGATCCACTGGAGGAGAATCTCATCCCTCCCTGGTGGCTGAGCTAAACTCCATGGGAGCCGTGATAGATACTGAACCATTTTTAGTGGCCTCCCCCAAAATCATCCTACAGAAGAACTCAGCCTAAAACCCAACACAACAGTCCATCGATTTAGAAATAATAAATACAATCTTCTTCTTCAGTCTAAGTTGGGGAAAGTTGTCTTTTCTGAGTGTGTGTGGATTCAAGTTACTTGATGAAGTCAAGGTTGCTGGACTGGACTCACTGGGATCACAACACGGCCAGGGTGGGGCCACAGCCAGGTTAAGAACCTTCCACGACCTGTCTCAACTCTTCAAACAATGGGGCAAGTTCCTTTTCTAGGCTGACAATCAGTCCTACATCAAAGAAAAAAAAATGTAATTTTCAGAAAGTTGCAATGCAGCTTAGGTGAAAAAACAAAAGAACCTCAAAATACTTGAGTTGCTTGGAATATCTTCTAAAACATGAATTTTCATGTTTATACTTTTTACTGCTGTGAGGAACAAATATTTCTCTTAATTAAAAATAACATGAAATACTGTAATCCTACCCATGCTGAAATCCATTTCTATTTCATGTTGTTACAGCTCAAAAATTTAAAAAAAGAAATCTGCATTTTTCACAGAAAACACCAAATTTAAGGATATTTTCATCTTTCAGGTGTAATCTCCTGTAATGTCATCATTGTAGCCACTGTACCTGGATGACCCCGGGTTCCCCAAACTTATGTCAGTTAGGCAAAGCTCTTGTAAGTTGCTATGAAACTGGAAAGTAGCCAAGGAAAAGACCTGATGATAAACTGTGTTTAACAAAATGGAGAGTCGCTCACCCTGGAAAGGCTGGTCAATTTTTGTTGAGGTAAGGAAGGAGGAAGAGAGATTACAGCAATTCAGGACAATTACCTATGATGCAGTCCAGAGAACACCTAACACCACTGAAATGGAGGATCTTTTGAAGCAGTGAAGCCTCAATTCTAACTTTTTCATTAGGTGACCTTTTTGTCAATATCTGCTTTATTTTATATATTATGTTTGAAGATAAAGGTTTAATTTTTTTAATTATCTGAAAAAAAATACTGGCACACTTTAGTCATTATTCTAAATTAATGAGGTCGTATTATGTTTCCCAAGTATACTGGCTAAGAGTACTCCTATATTTTGCTTCATATAGCACAATATATGGATATATGAGGATCCTAAATGTTCCTATGAAAAACTAAGCCTAGGATTAAAAACACTGCCAGCATCACTGTTTTGGGTGGGTTCGAGTTTGAAGGCTGCCAGCTGCTTTTCTTACAATAATACATCTCTAACCTCTACTGACTTCCCTATGCTGACTGTATCTCCCTGGTATCCTTCAAACTCTCCTCTGGATCCTTTTATCATTTATCACATCACATGAAACTCTTGGGGGAGATAAGTCCAGGAAGAAAGATGTCACAGACTGGCCAAAACCGCCTACCACCAGCTTCAATCAAGTTGGATCGGTAACAGGAACACTTCAAAGACCTGTAACTTTCATCAAGGCGGCCAGGGGACAGCGTAGTCAGAGCAAAGTTTAAGACCTGCCTCACGCCTTATAGCTGCGTGACTTAACCTGTCAGCCTCAGTTTCCTCATCTGTAAAACAGCGCCTACCTCTCACAGGATTGTTGTGAGGAAAGAATAAGATACTACCTCTGACACACAATAAAAATGTTGATGATGATGATGATGATTCCAGGCACCTGGGGGGTACAGGAGATAGAGTACTGTACTTGAGTTCAGATGTTCAAGTTCCAATACTGCCCTAAATATGTACTAGCTGTGTGACCCCAGGCAAGTCATATAGCCTGTCTCAACCTCAGTTTCCTCATCTGTGAAATGTGGATTCACTGAGTTGTTGTGGGAATCAAATGAGTTAAGCGCTTTGCAAATTTTAAAGCACTATATAAATGTTGACTATTATGATTTCTATAATGATTATAACTACATCCTCTTTAATTTAATAGGCATATGGTTTCAAGAATTGCTGTGGCTGAAAAATTCATTACCCTGTGGCCATCCTGGCAATAAATAAGCTTCTCCAAACTTAGCTAGGCTGGACCGTGGACAACAGTGGGCCCACAGCAAGCTATGCTTGTAAATAAATTGTAAAAACTAATTTTTACAATATACTTAACAACTGTTGATTAACAAAAAAAAGTGGATAAAGGACCAGGTTGGAAGATCTAACATGCCTTGAGGCTACCAAGTGTTTTGGAATGTACCTCTGCTTCCAAAGGTATCACATGTAAAACTGAAGAAAAACACCCACCAACCAAAAAAAGCCTCCTTTCTCTTGCTAGGAGAATATCAAGGTGCTCTGCATAAAATTTATTTTGTTTAACGAGAGGCAAACAAAACATAAAGACAAGGATGTAGCACACTCAATATATAAGACTATCTGAAATGCTGGGTAGAAATGGAACACCAAGTACAATATCTCAATAATTTTAAACCATATTTAAAATAATGAAAACATACCAGTATTTGCACTGCTGCTTGCTATAAAACTCACCACCAATGGTAATCGATTGAATTGGACTACCTGTAAAAAAAAAAGAGGGGAGGGTTAAATTATACACTGCACTACAGAAATGAGTATAACATCTTATATTCCAAAATGAAAATGAAATGTCATGATATATGTTCTACCTTCTCTTTAATTTTAAAATAAGCAAAGAATAACTGTAATTGATGTTAATTTGCTTCCCTAATAATAAGACAAAAGTTTAACAGTCTGGAACAGATCACTCTTTGTAATCACATACCTGTGTGTATTTTGAGTATTTACCCACTTTAGTGTAAATAACTCACGTTTCAATGTACTATGAGATAGGGTTAGAAAAAACTGATGATGTTGAGCTTTATTTCTTACAAATATATATTCATGTCAGACTTAAAAACCAAAAAGTTAATGATTGTATTAAATTCCTTCTATAACTGAAAAGAAATAGCATGTTACTGACTGTTCAGAGAGAAGAGTTAGTATTAAAGTTCCTAGATTTTTATTTTATTAACAAAACTAAAATAATGCAATGACTGCCAATTCAAATTTACAAAACAGTTACCAATAGGTTTTCAAGAGAAAGTTTTTAGCTATAAACAATAAAGACACGGTTGATTAGCTAAGGGCACTGTCTGCTGGAAGTAAGTGACCTGAATTGACCTCACATTTCTTACTAGGTAGACGATCAAATCTTTTAAGTGGTTTTCCTTACCTCTTGGTTTTCACTGTAAAATGACTTAAATGTAACTGAGTTAAAGGCTACGTAGATAAAGAATGCCTAATAAACTGAGCCCACTTAATTTAGAAAAAAGGACATGTAATGATAGCTGCAATCAAATCAGTGTCAAGAGTTAGGCCACTTACCTGGTACGTGTTGTAGTAGCAAATGATGCTTTTGTTTTTGGAAAGTCCAAGTTTGCTGCCCTGGTCGGTTGCAAGTGCAAACGTAGACAGGAAACCAGGTCTCAAAGCATGCTCTGGAGCATTATCATTTGCCACTGGAAAAAGACAGCATGTTTTAATAAAGGCTGTGAAGAGCCTACAGGAGAAATCAGGCTAACAGCAAATGGCGCAACACAAACACCACCTTGCACCGCACAAACCCATGAACGCTCCCTCCCTCTCACGGTCTGTCTTAAGTACAAAGAGAATGCTGCATACATTCAAAAGAAGTGCTGTGGTTTTATCAGGTAGAGGGGAGAGAGAGGCCTATTTAACCACATGCTCAAAGTCCATAAATAATTGAGGAGGGAACTGCTGAATTTTCCCTGGAACGTCTTCATAACAGTAAAACATTCATAATGAGTATCTGCATATTCTAAGTATACACAGCAAGATTTAAATTAATTAAAATGCTCAAGGAATATGTTGTAGTTAAGAATAAAGTAAAAAGGGTTTATTTCCACTTGGGTAAAAGAACATTTTCATATGTAGTAACATAATGAAGACAAATTAAGTTGTCTCTGATGACTAAGGATTGTGCAGTGTCTCTGGGTCATCATTCTTTTTTTTTTAAATTTTTATTCTTATGAGGCAATGGGGTTAAGTGACTTGCCCAGGGTCACACAGCTAGTGAGTGTTATGTGTCTGAGGCTGAGTTTGAACTCAGGTCCTCTTGACTCCAAGGCCAGGGCTCTCTATCCACTGCGCCACCTAGCTGCCCCTCTGGGTCATCATTCTTAGCATCAGTTTTTCATCATACAATATTATAAGATATAAAAAGCATAAGTAACTAGGTAACTGGGCTGAATAAATACTGACCCTAGAAGTTTCATTTTATATAAATCTCTGCTATAAGCTTGTTTTCTCGTGATTTGCCTTTTCTCCTGAAAGTGGAATGCAAAAATAACATTTTGGTTAAGGATTCTCGTTGCTTGGGTTCTGGTTAACTCAAGTTTCATCGTATTAAAAAATCTAAGTATATAACACAATTTGCAGGAACGAGGCAGAAAAGGGAAGAAATAAATTTTAAAAGTGAATTTTTTCTTCAGGGCATGAAATGAGAGCACAAATCCACCAGGTTTCAATTCAACAAATATTTCCTAAATGCCTACTACGTGAAAGGAACTGTTAAACAAAGGCACTTTGCCTTTGAAGGCTGTCTTTTTTTCAACTTTTTAATCATTTTAAGTACTGAATTGTATATTTGGCTCTTATAATTTAGACTGACTAATAGCAAATCATATGCAATAACTGCCTTTAGTGGGGAACCTGACCTTTGAAAAACCTCTATTCAAATACTGGCTACATGAAATACCTATAGGCCCCAAAGGCCAGTTTTAATATAATCTAAAAACACAGCCTTGACAATATAAAAAAACAAATGTCTCCTTAAAGCCCGAGAACCAGCGCTTTCCACTTACTGAAACAGCTTCTTGATTTTCCCTTCATCACCCACACTGGGAAAACCTTGTTAATTTTTTAGCCAAGGCAGAAAACAAAATTACGGCTTGAACATTACCTTTGATAACAGGCACTCCATCCCTGTCTGAGACTACAATGGCATGAAGACCTTCAACACTAGAGAGATAAAAGAAGGTTAGTTATAACACATCACACTAAATATTTTCAAAATGTGAGCCTGAAGTTAGGAATGTATATACGCATGCATACATGTGCACACACGCACACCACACACACACACACACACACACACACACACACACACACACTCACTCTCACTACCCTATGTCCTTAGAGATCAGACTTCTGATCTCATGTATTCAGACACTGCTTTCAGCCACGCAGACACCAGCCCAGACTTGCCTACAGGACTCCTGTCCTGGGCCTCCCACAAGTTCACACTAGCTGGGGGTGGCTTTCTCCACTTCCTTCTGTTATAATCAAGTTACCAGCGGAGCCCATGGGCTGTCTGCCTCCTCAATAGCTCTTGCTCTCACAAGTGACCAGTTTATCTTCACTTTTGAGCATGCATTTCTCTGATGACATCCTTCACTCTCATTTTTTCTCACACTTACGTATTATGCATTGCCGCCTTCTCACACCCACCTTACAGCTCTCCCAGTGCCTGACTGCTTGATACTCGTTTTTAACACTTCAGATATTGTAGCATTCCATGATTTACAGCCATACAACACCAGTGTATTCTATTCCCGCAATGCCTAGCCTAACAAAACTCTGGGCACCTTAACCTAACAATTACGGCAAATACAACTAAACTCTAAAAATCAGCCAAATCCAAGTGTTGGCTAGGAGTTAACATATAACTTTAAATGAGGAAATAGGTTGATCAGTGAAGTCCTAAAACTATTACGTACTGAATCTCAGCAAACACCATAAAGCTATGATTGTTCTGTGTTACAGTTACAGGAGGCAGGCTACGTGGAGGGAATAAATAGCCACATACCATATTGGCATGGAATGCTCAAGGAGATGATTGTAAACTGTATTAACAACACAAACAATGTACAGGCAGAGATGGACAACAGGGGCACTAAGTTATGGAGCCTGGCATCACACTATCTATCACTCTTTTCATGGCCCCATGCTGATGGTTTTCCTAATCCTCTCCTGCTACACAACTCTTCCTCTTGGGTCAACAGAACTATCAGCCACAACGAAACAAAAAAGCCATCATGCAGACACATGTTACGTCTTCCGGCCTCTTCCTCCTTGACCTGTTACAATACCACCTCCTTCTCTAAGAACTTAATATCTCCACACCTCCAATCCACCAAAGAAAGACATAACCAAGATGTCACCTAGATGTGGAAAATGCCTTAGAGATAATCGACTCTCACTTCTCCAGTGTTTCCTAATTGCTGGTCTATGGACCAATTTTTAAAATAAAGTGAAACTGTGTGATGTGCGAGGCAGCACGGTGGGCTGGACTGAAAGCTCTGGAATCAGATCCTGCCTCATACTAACCATGTGACCATGGGCAAGTCAATTTACCTCTCGGTGCCCCAAGCAACTCACTACAACTCTACATTAGAGATAGGGGCCAACTTGATTTACTGAATGAATGAAAAACACATTTATTAAGTGCTAAGGGCTCACTGTGTGCCAAGCACTTCGTTACATGCTGGAGACAATCTACTCTCAAGGAGCTCATTTTGTAACTAAGGAGATACCATGAGTTCAACCGTAGGAGGGATGGGAAGATCTGGAAATAATTAATAATGATGCAGCAGAAAGCAGGCCCAGGGTCCTGAGGGTACACTAGGAGGTCAGACTGGGGAACAGGAAGGAGGGAAGATGGGACACCTCCTTCATTTCCTTCCTGCATTGGCCAAGCCAGGAGTTGTTAGAGTGCAAGTTCTTTAAATCAACAAACTCACAAGTACAATCCAAAGAAAAACCAAAAAACCTCTGTCATGTAGCCCATAAAATTGCCATGGTTTTAAAATACTGAAAACAGTCACAAGCAAAAGGCCATTTTCCTGTTTGTGGAGGGAAGATGCTGGTCAAACAGGAAACTCTGCACCTATATGCCTGGGGTTATCAAATCATGTCATGTAGGAACATGAGGAATAATGAACAATACAGACCTTTGGACAGAGAGAATCCCTGAAAAACTATCAGGGAAGAAACAACCTTTGAAAACTTATGTGGCATTAAATGCTATAATGAAAAAGCTTGCTAACATTCAAAATTTACATATAATCTCCACAAATCCTAATTATATAAAATCAGTATAAAACCAGAACTTGTTAGAATTCATTACATTAGGAATCAGAATTTCCACTCCCATTCATATATACTTATTAATTTAGGCATTAGTAGCCTGGATTTTAACTATTTTATCTGTTGAAAATGAGGGGAAAAAGAAATTACGGCTTTGAAACCGCCCTTGCTAAAGTCATTTAAAAGAGATCCTCATCTTTCTGGAAAAATTATCATCGCTCATGTTAGAAATCTCTTCCATTTCTCTTACAAAACACATAATGACCGTTTATATACATGGTCATAATGGTACTTCCCACTGAATATCTTTTAATCCTAAAATCATCTATCACTTAAAAATACATACATTTTGTCTGAAATTTGAAGTAAATCAAAGTACTTTAAAATTACAGAAAAAAAGGATTCAATAATGAGTTTCTTTTCCTTTTAACTTCTCTGATATTCAAATTAGAGGGTCAATCAATGTTCCAGAGAGGAAGTAAGAAGAAAAGCCTTTTCTTCTCCATGGATATCAAACAGAAGAAAGTCCTAGAGAATGAGGACAAAAGCTTCTTAGAGTATTTTAAGCAGAGTCTGAAGGAAATCAGTTGACAAATATAATAGGCCTTATGTTGACAATCAAGATGAATGAACCCTACTGGGGACCATCACAGAGAAATGAAACAGATTTCCCTAATCCCTGAAATTATTTGTACTACAGATAGGAGTACAAGATTTTTAAAAAGGGGTGAGAAGTTATGCCTTCATGAAATGATACATTCCAGTTGGATGGGCTTCAGGTGGATAAAGTGCTCTAAGAAGCGCTTGTTCTCAATTTTCTAAGTGTTTTTTAAAAGGTCAAAGTGAGCTCTTAAGCCCAAGTTGTGTTGTTTTTTTAAAAATTTTACTTATTTTGTTATTTTGAGTACTGAACTGTCTCCTTCCCTCCCCACCTCAAACTAGAGAAGGCCACCATCTGAAAAGATTTATAGTTAAACCTAAGTTGGGATCAACTGTTTAAGAGAATTTATCCTTTTTTTGGTGAGGCAATTGGGTTTAAGTGACTTGCCCAGGGTCACACAGCTAGAAGTGGCAAGTGTCTGAGGCTGGATTTGAACTCAGGTCCTCCTGACTCCAGGGCCGGTGCTCTACCCACTGCGCCACCTAGATGCCCCAAGAAAATTTTAAAATATAGAAACCACCAGTTATTTATATTTTGAAATCGTATATATAATTCAAAATTCATCATCCTAGTGATGCTTGGGATTAGTTAACTCAATGTTAATATTATCATGTCCTAGGTTTAGCTTTCAAGTGACTCTGTTGCCACAACTATGTTCTGTCGCATTAAAATACAGTCTTAAAATTAAACCAGTCACAAGGAAGGCTAGGAGAGAACCACTGGTTAGATGGCAGAAACCCATCATCACTCCTGGTACAATTCAAAGTACAAGCCATACCTATAGGTTAATAGGGAAGGGAACAAACCTCTATTGATTTAACTAACCCACTATGTGCCAGGCACCATACTAAATGCTTTGCAAATATCTCTTTGCGGAGGCGGTAGGGAAAAATGTGTGTGTGTGTGTGTGCCATTATTATCCCTTTTTTACAGATGAGGAAACTGAAGCGGACACAGGTTTAGTGACTTGGCCCAGAGTCATTCATATGGTGTCATACAGGTGAGGAAACTAAGGCAAACAGAGCTAAGTGACTTACCCAGGGTCACACAGCTAGTATGTGTCTAAGGCCTGATTTGAATTCAGGAAGATGAGTCTTCCTGACCCCAGGCCTGACCCCTGCACCACCTAAGCTGCCTATGACATGCCCTGATGAAGAAGTTATCCAATCAAACGGAAGAATGATCTCTCCAGATTCTTTTTACCCCCTTTGGCCCTAAAAAATAGTGTGAAGTTTCCAAGTTTCTGTATCACTGGAAGCTGATTCTTTAAAAAACAACAACAAAACTAAATCAAATTAATACCTGGATGACCGTACTTTTTCTCTGGCTTTTGGTAATATACCACATGGCTTTGAAATGAAGCAAGAGTAAAGGGAGTTTCACCCTAGCCAAAGAACTTAATATAACGTAATAATAACAGCTAGCATTCATAAAACACTTTAAGGTTTGTGAAGTACTCTACAAGTATTGCCTCATTTGGTCCTTTTGCCAACTTTAAGAGGCAGGCACTTTTACTGTCCCCATTCTTACAAATGAGGAAATTGAGGCCAACAAAGGTTCTGTAACCTGCCAAAGGTCACACGCTGCTGGTGTCTGAGACAGGACTTGAATTCAGGTCTTCCTGGACTCTAAGTTTAATGCTCTACCCACTATGTCATCTAGCTGCACCTAGCCTTTGAGCCTAACATAAATATTAAATCTACAAGTCACGGACCATCAGAGCCTCTGAAGAATCAGTGTGCAGAATCTCCCAAAGGGCAATGGAGGAGTGCATGGCGGCTGAGCAGACTGCAACCCACTGCCAACCAAGAAATGCACAAAATAAAACACAATGGAGAACGCCAGAAATACAAGTATGGAAGAAAAGGATGGGCCAGATAGAGTGAGAGTAAGGGATGTCTGACTGACAACTTGGATACAGAAAAAATGGTGTCATTAAAGTCAAAAGGGACCACAGGGGGCATCGAGGTGTCGCTGTACATACAGTGCCGGTTCTGGAATCAGGAGGACCTGCCTCAGACACGTAACACTCACTAGCTGTGTGACTCTGGGCAAGTCACTTAACCCCAATTGCCTCATTAAAAAAAAAAAAAGAAAGTAAAAACACACACATATACACATGCATATATGTATATGTATGTATGTGCATATATGTATATATGTGTATATATATAAAAATACATCAACACATTAAAATCAGATAGGAACTACTTTCTGATCTGGTTTGGGCTGCACTTAGTCAGGAAGGCTGTGTCAGGAGTGTACCTGTTTGACACCTCTGCTCTAGAACGTTAGGAATTCCATAGGATTTGCAGAAGGTCAGGGACAAGAGACACAGAGGATGAAAGAGCACTGACGGATTTTGATTTTCATCCCTTGAGTTAGTACCTACATGATTATCGATATTGCATTTAATCAAAATCCAGCTCTGGTTTTCCAAACAGTTTTAATAACAATAGCTCTTCTTTAAGGCACTTCAAGGCTTGCAAAATACTTTCCCTGCATTCTCAGGAAGTGGAATATTTTAAGAGATTAGTTCAAATAAGGGCAACACAAAAATAATCCTAAAAGGCAAGGCCCCTTTCCAGATCTAAAACTGATTTATTTCTATGAACCATCCCTTTTTATATGAACCATCCCTTTTTATACTTCAGACCTAATTTTTTTTTTTTTGAAAATGCAGAGGAATGAAACTAGTGCATCCAGGACACACCAACATCCTAAAAGATGTTCTTATGCTATCAAGGATATAGAGACCCTTTCGGTCATTTAAACGTTTTCAAGTTAGAGAATTGTTCCATAATGTGTGGTATAAAAATGAAGTCAGAACTCAATTATACATTCTGCCATATACATATCAATATATGCATATATATATATATATACATATCAATATATGCATATATATATATATACATATATATATATATTTCACATAATGGGTTAAGTGATGTCTCATGGCATTTTCTCCCTATCTCTCAGGAAACAGTAGATCTGATGGACAGCTAAATATAGATCTAGTTACCAGATAGATCAGTCCTAACCCTCAGGAACTTTATGAAGTTATTTTTTAATAAAGGAATGGTAGCTTTGTATAGTGAGCTGGTTTCAGGGCTCAGAAGACCCGGTTTCAAGTCCCACCCGTGACATGTACTAGCCGGGTGACCCTGGGCAACTCCTTAACCTCTCAGGCAACTCTCTAAAGCTGTAAGGTACAGAGAATTCCCTATGTCATATAGGTCCAGTCTCTATTTCCTATTTTTAAAAATGTATGCACAGGTAAACTGTATTTGAATAGAAAGTATAATCCTCAAAAGTTTGAAATTCAAATCCTTTTCATTAGTAGAACGCCTTAAACAAATTGCATTAGCAAAAGCAGAAAGGCTCAGTGATAAATACTATATATCACACCACAAGGGAAATAAGTTGGCATAAATACGAAGCACAGGCCATGAGGCAAGTGAAAAACACGTGCATCTGTGAGTAGAATCATGCTTTTCCTATCTTTTCTGTGCCAGCTTAATTTCCTCTCTAAGCACAGTATAAAAGCTTTACCTTAGAGTGAGTCTAAAAGTGAAACAAATGTGGTATTTTTATTTTAAGGTGGTAACAAAACGAGACTTTATGATTTATGACACTACTAATCCTTTACCTTGGTAACTTTTTGTAGAGGAATCTCTTCAAATCCTAGAAAAGGAGATACAAAGCCACATTGTAACAAGAAGTCAGAAGGAGGAAATAAAGCTCCAAACACTTTGGAAGTTCCTCAAATCTGAGTGAATAGCATCTCATAAGCTTCCCTCACCAGAGTCCCTAAAAAATTTCCCAAAGCTAGTTTCGGTTTCAAACCCCATCCTTATCCTCCCAAAGGCCTGAGCCCAGTTCATAAGACCTTTGTGCTAAAGTACATGTTAGGTGAGACTCTACTATGCCTCATCATTAAACACCTCATAAAAGCAGAGTACTGTGAGAGATACAAAGTCCCCTACCTTCAAGTTTACAATCCCATCCCCTTAAAGGACTAATCATTCCAACTCATATAGCTTACTTACATTTATACAAACCATTCACAGGATCATGAATTTTGGCCTGAATGAACCTTTCAGGTCAAACATTAGAAAAGCTCTCCTTACAACCAACCTATGTGTTGGAAGTTATTATTATTGCCTTTTTTTTTTTTTTAATGAAACTGAAATACAAAGATGTTAATAAACTTGCAGAGTCACAGGGCTAGTCAAAGCCACGCCTACGGCGTGCTGATGTTCAGTTGTCTCAACTGTGTCTGACTTTACACGACCCCATCTGGGATTTACTTGGCAGGGATACTGAAGTGGTTGGCCATTTCCTTCTCCATCTCATTTTACAGAGGAGGAACTGAGGCAAACAGGGCTAAGTGACTTGCCCAGGGTCCCACGTCTGAGGCCAGATTTGAACTCGGGAAGATGGGTCTTCCTGACTCCATGCCCAGCATTCTATCCACTTAGCTGCCCTAGGCCTGAGGTATTCTTGACTCTAAGTCCAGCACACCTTTCCAAAGACTAATTTGAATCTGACTAGCTCAAAGGTGTTGCTCTAATGAGTCATACGGTGAAAACTCAAGTTCTAATTCCAACAGAATAAACTGTGCTACCAGGGACGGTTTGCTTTTTGTTTTTCCATCTCCATGCCTTTCGGACAAATAACTAGGTGCTAAATAAATAAACGTGGATGGATGTTTTAAGGGAGTTGTAGCTTTCTGTAGGGCTCACGACGGTTTTAATAATCAATACAGACTAACTGCCTTTGGGCCCAGACACCGCAGGATAACAAAGAATGGGAAGGAAGGCGCTGTAATGCAAAGAACACTGGATTTAGAGGCAGTTTCTGGGGTTCATCAACCAACAAACATTTTTTAAGCGCTCGCTATGCACACAGCACCGTGCTAGATGGCAGGGATGCCAAAATACATTAACAAAGATTTATTAATCACCCACTAGGTGCCAGGCACTCGGCTAAGTGTTGGGGGGAAGGGGGACCCCATGCACTCACGGAGCTTACAATCTAAAGAGAGGAGCGAAATGCAAAGAGCTCCAGGGGGAGGGCGTTACGGGCACTGGGAAGCCTCCATGTAGAAAGTGGGACGGGGATGAGCAGGAAGAGATTCCGGGCCGGGGCGGGACGGCCAGAGAGTGGAGAAGGGCAAGGAGACTGGAAGGGCCGGGTTATGAGGCTGCACTGGGGAGGGGGCGGTGGTCTCGATCGTTTCCGAAGGCCGAACGCCGCCTCCGCCGCGGACCAGCCGTGACCTTGGAACATCCCAGGGTCCCCACGCCCCGGCTCGGGGTCGGCTCCAGGCTCCGTCACCCGCCCCCCCGTGGCCCTCCCCCCGGCTGGGGGGGTGGTCTCACTCACATCCGCCATGATGAGCCCCTTCCTCCCGCGGGGACGCTCCCCACGCCTGCAAGAGAAACAGCCGCTGAGGCCGGGGCACGGGGCGGGGCCGGGTTGCCTCCCGCCCCCATCCCCGGGCCTCGCCGCCCCCCGCCGCCAGGCCCCGAGACCCACCTGGCTCAGGCTGCCCAGGCGGCCGCTGTCCTCGGGCGCAGGTAGCTCCGACTGCCGCGGCCGCTTCCTCTTCAACCCGCTGTCACATGATTGCCGACCCCTCCCGCTCTCTCAGGAAGCCCCGCCGGAGCCTCGGCCCCGTGATACACTACTCCGGGGTAAGGGGTCAGGACACCGGAAGCGGCCTCCTTGGCCCGGCTCGACCTGCCCCCTTCTCCTTTCCCTCCACCCTACCCCCTCCTCCGCCGGAGGAGTCCCGCGCCTGCGCTAGACACACCCCTTTCACGCCGCCACCCGCCCCGAAGTTCTGCGCATGCGCCAGCTTCGTCCTTTCTCCTCCCTACTACCCCACCTCCGAGCAGAATGCTGCGCATGCGCCTGTCTGGCTCTTACTCATCCAAGGAGGGGTGACTGAGGGATTCGCTGGGATATTCCACTCTCTGCAAAGGGCTGTAGAGCACGTTAGATGCAGAATTGGAAGCATCCCCGACCCTCACTTTGTTTTGCATCATGCACCATCTGGGGAAGTGTTGGGCCCTTGTTCAGAGTCATGTTTTTAGTGCATAAAATATTCATGAGATGACTAGGGAGTGCTTTCCCTCTTTTAATTATTTCCTATTTATCCTGTATAAAGCTTGGTATATACACACAAACACGTATATATATATATATATATATATATATATATATATATATATATATATATATGTACACGAGTATATATGCACACATCTACGTATGTGTGTATATGTATGTGTGCATATGTTTTCATGCTGCCTCTTTCATTTTGATTGCAAGTTTCCTGAGGGCAGGGACTGTCTTTTGCCTCTCTCTGTACCCCCAGTGCTTAGCACAGTTCCTGGCACATCATGAGTGATTAATAAATGTTCACTCAATTGAATTATATAGGTTGCTTTGTATTCATTTGTTTGCCTGCTGTCTCCGCCATTAGATTGGAAGCTCCTTGAGGGCAGACATTGTCTTTTGCTTCTTTTTGTGTCTCCAGGGCTTGGCACATAATAGGTGCTTGATAAATGTTTGTTGAATTAAATGTTGAAAGTCAGTTGTCAAAAAATTTTTTTTTTAATTCAGGGACTTCAGGATAAGAAGCTAAAAGGAACCTGTAGGGTCATGGATCCCAGCCCTCTTATTTTATAGATGGCAAAAGTGAGGCCCAGAGAGATTCAGTGACTTTGCCCAAGGTCACACAATCAAGCCGTCAGCCAGTAAGTTGACTCTATTTCTGGTACTTTAAGTACATGCTTGGTTTTCGCATATTTAAAAGGAAAGAAAACTGCCTGACCTCAAGGGCCTTATGTTCTGTGCGGGAGACAAAAGGTACACATAAAAATAGATTTAAAAGATATTTTGGAAGTATGTAATAAGAGCTTGGATGCGTTCCTTTTGTGGCCACATCTGGTCCTCTTCCCTGCCCCACCTTCCCAGCGTTTAACACCCTGGGAGGGGAAAGAAGCCAAGCTTGTCATTGATGCTTTCCTAGAGGTCCGACTGCCTGTGGGTGGCTGTCTTCATTTCCTGACTTAGTGACTTCGCAAGGGGAGTTATCCTCTGCATCCTTTCTCATTCACACATTACGTGCTTTTACTCTTCAATTATTAAAACAGTTAGAATTGGATTTTATGGTTCCCCAATGCCTGTGTGTGTGTGTGTGTGGTGTTTTAAAGGAAAAGACCTTGAACTGGGGCACCCATGACATTTCCTCAAGGAGAGGGGATCAGTAACAGCCTTTTTGTAGGAGGGGTTAGTGGCAGAGTAAATACAACATTTCTTTCTGTTATACCATAGAGCATAATTCAGATTTTGACTTTCCAGATCTTTTAGCCTCCTAATTAATTTCCCTGCCTCCCTTCTCTCCCAGCTCCACACTATCTGTGACAGAGATGCCTAAGTCATTTTCCTAAGACATAGATCTGACCAGGACACTACCTGCTCAAACATCTTCTCCATAAGAACACCAACCGGTGCTACACAGAGAAACACAGAAACTCCTAATCTGGCATTCAAGGCCCTTCACAATCTGATGCCAATTTTTACTTTCTTGCTTTATGTTATGGTTCTCCCCTTTACACAAGTTCTTTAAGCTTCAGAAAAGAAATGGACTGTTTATTCTTTGCCCATCTTATCTTTCTGTCCTCCGGCCTGCTCCTTTACGTGCTCACCCTGGAATAAAATATTCTCCTTCCCTTTTGCCTGTCCCTCCCCATCTGGGGCTAGAAGTGACCTTGGAGCTATTCTAGTCCGGCCCTTTTGTATTACAGAAGACACCAGGATAAGAGGAAAGTGTGGGGCAAAGCACCCTGTGAAATCCAGTTAGCACTGGAATATTGACAAGACTTTCTGTAGAGTGGTCTTCCAGTAGGGTGTTAAAGAATGAGTAGGAATCAACAGACAAAATGAAGATACCTTAGAGGAACAGCATTAAAAGAGATACAGGCAGTAAGTCAAAGGTCTGGTGATAGTCCAGTTTGGCAGCACTATAGGTTATGCAGTAGGTGATATACAGTTTTAGTTGGGACCAGAAATAACTCCACTTGTGGACATACTGAGTTTGGGATCCTGATGGGACATCTGGGTAAACATTCCCTATAGGGAGCTGAGACTCTGGTTCAAGAGCTCTGGAGAAAAGATAAACCATAGGCTTACAGCTGGGAGAGAACTTCCTTACACACAATTTAGTTTAACCCTCTCATTTATAGCTAGACACTGAGAACCAAGGAGGTTACCATGCTCTCTGTAACCACTGAGGTGACATATTAGGGATCCTCCATGGTCCCTTCCTTTCTGACTTCTCTTGGAAGGCCCCTATCCCTCACTGAATCTCTCAGATCACTGTCACTGTTGATTACCTATTCATCCTTTAATCCCCTACTCCAAGACCACACTCTATAAAAAGTCTTTGCTAATTATTGCCCTAACTTTGATTTCACACAGTGCTTTGCTCCACACAAGGTCACACAAGCATTAAGTGGCAGTACTGAGATTCCAGGCCTGCATCACTTTTTCCAAGGTGTGGAATGTCTGTTGTCACATCAGGAGGGAGCAGCCCGTGGAATTTCTGTCTCTGACTCCAAATTCAGTGGTCTCTCCATACCATCACGTTCTGGTGGCGATTCTCCACCAATCTTCTTAAAATCCTAAGGTGACATATTAGGACATCTTCCATGATCCCTTCCTTGCTGGCCTCTTCTGAAAGACCTCTCCCCTTCCTTGATTCTTTCTCCCAGATCACATCTTTGACTTTCCCCATGCACTATCATTTTCTAACTTGTAAATGTTTAACCTCCGTTTTAGACAGTAAGCTCTATGAAGATCAGGAACATCCATTTCTCATCTTTGCTTCTACCTTGAAGGATCATAGGATTGATGGATTTAGAATTGGAATGGATCTTAAGAGGACATCTGATTCAACCTCCTCATTTTATAGATGAGGCAACTGAGATCTGGAGAAGTTGCAACTCGTCAAAGGTCATGTAGTAAGTGGCAAAACCAGGACTTAGAAGCTAGGTGCTCTCACCACTGCAATAATACTGCTTCTTTGTTCTGACCTACTATGCAATTGGTTTATGGGTTGGATTCAGGTTTCCTTCATGGCCTAATTTTTGAAGCTTTGATACCTTCTCTCTTGACAGGTACTATCCCCACATACATGAAATGTCCTCTACCTCTCCTAAGTTTTCTTCTCAATAAATAATAGCTTCATTTTCTTTTCAATAAATAATAGTTTCTAATATTCTCTTTCACAAAGCCTTTTCACATAGGTTTGGAGTCCATGGTCTTTTCTGGATCTATATCTACTACCATAGCCGTGTTGTTCAGTCATTCTAGAAGCTCCAAATCTTTGTACTCCCACTTTTTTTTTCTTGGCAAAGATATTGGAATGATTTGCCATTTCCTTTTTCAGCTCATTTTTACAGATGAAGACATTGAGGCAAACATGGTTAAGTGACTTGTTCAGTCACACGAGTGTCTGAGGCCAGATTCGCACTCAAAAAAATGAGTTTTCCTGACTCCAGCCCCAGTACTCTATCCATTGTACTACCTAGCTGCCCGTACATCTACACTGTTGCTGTCTGAGCCCCTGAGCCCTAAGATAATTATACATAACACGTTTAAATGAAAAGTAAAATCATGCAGAGACCAATTTTGAGAGTTTACTGTCCTCAAGTCTCTTTAACTGCTGAGCTCAAAATACCACCTCCTACAAGAGGCCTCACTGCCTATTTGTCAGCATTTGCCTTGCTGAAGGTCATTGCTTTGTATTTCTTTTACCTGTAAATTTTTTGTATTCACTTTATTTTGTATCTACTCATCTGGAAGAGGGATTAAATTTGTTCTGTTTGGCCCCAAAGGTGGAACTAGCAGCACTGGGTTGAATGGAGGTTCCTGTCACTGGAAGTCTTCAGAGGCTGGAGGATTGTTCGTTGAGTATCTAAGAGTGGGATTCCTTTTAGGGTATGAGTTGTACAAGAAAAAAGAAAGTAAGCTACTTGAGAGCAGGGTCTGATTTGTTCTTTCTTTTTATCCCTAGAGGCTAGTAGGCATCAAGAGTCACCATAGCCAGGGTTCAAGCCATACTTATAATAACACATAGCCATGTGACCCTGCCTGCCATCTAACCTCTCAATGTTTGTCTGAACAACTCCCTAAGGCTGTAAAGTTGCAGAAATAGTTGCTGATCTGAGTTAGGAAAGGGAATTTCCTCATCTGAGAATTCCCCATACCAATGAAGCTGACTAAACTCCACATGCCTGGCAGTCCCTGGCATATAGGTGTTTAGTAAATGCCTGCGGTACTTAAACATTCTTTATGGTTTGGTCTGAATCCTAGGGTGTAGGAACAATCTGGAATTCTCTTGGTACACTCCTGTGCCTGATAAACAAATCTAATAGGTTTAACAAGTCTGATGAAAGACTAAGGAAAGAAGTCAGCCAACAACATTCAGGGAACCACTAGCATTTCACTACAGATTGTTAACTGGTCCAATCTTGTATCATCTGTGTGTTTCTGGTCAGTATATCATTGCTACACATCTTGAATAGTTCTAAAATGGAAGTCCCCTAGTTATTTATCAAGGTCCAGCATAAATCTTAGCTGCTTTATGAAACCTTCTTTGATCACTAGCAGGATTGTTCTCCAATGCTACATCCTGGGCCTCTTCTCTACAGTATCTCCCTGAGCAATCTCCTTCACTCTTCTGAAGTAATCACCTATGGATGACACCAAAATCCATTGCCCCAGTCCTGGCCTCTCTTGAGTTTCCAGTGCACATCTTTGTCCATAGGAAATGACTACACTGATGTCCCACCAATATCTAAAACTCAGTATGTCCACAACGTGAGTCATTCTGGTCCCCATTAAATAGAGCATGACCAGTTACTGTGTTACCTTCACCGCAGCTAAAATGGGAAATTGGCTGTTTCTGCTCATGCTGAGATCTATTCCTATGATGTTGGCCTCCTTTGCCTGCTGCAATCCTATCTCACTTCTCCTTCAAAGCCCAACTCAAAGGCTGCTTTCTATACAAGAGTCTTGCTAACACTCCCATCATTCTTTCCCAATGGATTTCATACAGTTTGCCCCACTCCCAGGACACTTATTGTGCACTACTTTCCAGTACGATTTTTATGATATCCCTCAGAGGGCAGGGGCTGTCTTCGTTAATAATGCTCCACATACAAGTAGCTTCTTAGTAAGTTTACTGAACTTGTTCAAATGCCTCTATTATTTGAACTCATTCCTCGTCAGTACTCTTCATATAGCACTGGTGTGTGCTATGAATATGCATATATACCTTTATGTTGTATCTCAATTAGATGATAAGCTCCAAGAGGGCAGCAGTTAGTTTTCCCAAATCTTGCTGAATATTCAAAATCCCCTAGTACAGTGCTGCTGAGCACAGGAACTCTGCAAATATTTTTGTACAATAAAATATGAAGCAATAGCGCGCCTATACTGGGTCAGACAAAGGGTTAAGCAAATCTGTTGTGGTCAAATAAAAATTTTGGTATAGTTTATTTTTAAAGAAATGAGCCAAGTTGTCTGAAGCTCCCTGAAATCTGATGCTTTTATCTTTTGGATGCTGTGGACTGGGAAATTGCTGGTGACTGCTTTTGCCCCTCTGGGGTTCAGACTGTAAGGGAGCAGTGGGAGCTCCTGAAACCTCAAACCTTGTCTTTCTCAGTAAGACCATTATTACTGATGGTGGGAAGTAATTTTATTCATGGTTTCATGGGTACAAAAGGATGCTTTTCTATTAGTCACATGGAGAAGTCCAGAGACTGTCTCCCGTGGTAAGAGAGAAGGGAGAAGTGATCACAGAAATTGTTTCATGTTTACTCTGCATCAAGTTGTTTTGAGGACCCATATGACTGACATACAAAGGACATAACATTGTATACCACGGACCTTTCTGAAAGGAACAGAAGTAGAGAAAGACAATGGCCGAGTTCTTGCTTGATAATCCATTACATTTAGGAGCTGAGGCAAGTTTCTTTCATTTTGGCCACTTGAGAAATGAGGTTCTCAAGTAGGCTATGATGTTTACATCTGGAATATGGTGGTTCCCACTCGGTCATGCATCCCAACCCTATTTCTTCCAGGGCCCACCAGGGTCCTTCTAGTCACCCAGGTCCATAACCTCCGAGACATCACTGATTCTCCTCTCTCCCTCACCCCATCAACTCCACATAGTGTTTCCAAGTGTTGTTGCTTCCAACTCCCCATCGGTCACATCAGGCTTACCGCTCTAGTTTGGAACCTTACCCTCTCATCTGAACTATTACAGCAGCAATACTGGCCTCCTGTTTCAGCTTCTCCCTTCTCCAAAGCAGCCTCCATATAGCGACTAAAAAACAGGCATGACCATGTCAATCCTAAGTCAAAGAAGGTCCAGCGGCTCTGTTAGCTCGAGGATCAAATGCAGACGCTGAGGGCATCTAACGCACCTTGGTTCTGATCTGCTCTCTGTGATTATATCATCCCCTTTCATGCATTCTATGACCCAGCCAAATGGGCCTTGTTGCTCTCTGCCTTTGCATAGGATGCCTTGCCATGCCTGGGATGCATTCCTTCCTCACCTCGACCTCCTAGATACCTTAGTTTTCTTCAAAGCTCAGCTCAAGTACTTTCCCTCCGGGTACATATTGTATACATACACATGCAAACGATGTTTCTACAGAAGAACGTCCTTGAGGTCTGGACTGTTTCCTACTCTTTGTATGACCGATGACAAGCACAGAGCAGGCATGTAACAAATGCTAGTGGACTGATCCATGCTGGGAGACAAAATACATAAAGAAGTCATCCATAAGCATGGAAGCACCTATTATCTGCCAACCGCCCGGCTAAGTGTTGGGGACACAAGGTGGGCAAAACCAAAACAAAACCACCCCTGTTCTCAAGGAGCTCTCTGTCTAAACTCTGAACAGTTAATACAAGATAATTAATAGGCAAGAACACTAGAAATGAAGGGGCCCAGGCAATGGTTCTGGAGGAGGTAATACGTAAGCTAAGGCTTGAAGGATGCTAAGGATTCCAAGAGCCAGTGATAACAAGGGGGATCATTCTAGGCCTGGTGAAACCGGGGAGACAATGTGGCAGAAGAGAATAATACTGGCTCTTTCCAGAGGAATCTGAGTCCCTCGGTTCAAATCTGCTGGATGAACCTGTGTGATCCTGCACACAATTTCCTCTAATTCGATGTGCTGAGGTTCCTCCCATCAGCAGATCCAATCCTATGACTGCAAGTAGGTCTATTTGGTTAAAACTGTGTAGGTAATAGGTAGTAACATGAAATAAGTCTAGAAAGATAGTTTAGAGCTAGAGGGTGACACTGTGAAGATTTTTTATTTTATCAGAAAACAACAGGAGATCAGTTGGAGAAGGATGTGATCAGACCTGTGCTTTAGAAAATTTATTTCAGCAGCTATGTGGAGGATTTTAGAACTTAAAAGAACAATAAATTATAATGGCTCATAAATGTTGGAATCATAGATGCCCATTTATTTGTGTACATGTGCGTATATATACAAACATATGGATGTGTCACAATCACAGTCAGACCTGATATATATACCTGGCATTTTCAGCACCAGTTAACCTGTCAACTGTCCAAAGCAAAACCTCCTTTCAGCTTTGGATAGCCAATAAAAATACATGGCTCTGCAAGAAGACCAATGCTAAAAATCAGGATATTTTAGGAAATGGCCTTCTGAAAACAAAAGCAAACAAAAAATGAGACTACCTTTTAGGCCCCAGACAGCTAGGGATTGAGAGAAATGAACCGGAAGTCTGTAACCTAGCTGAAGCAATGGTGTTTATCCCCGATCGTGCAGCTATAATTAGGACATGTTTGGTTTTTTTTTTTTCTGAGGGTGGTCAATGAGAAAAATGTACCTGAGCACGAATGCATATTTACGATATATGAGGCATCACATTTCTGTGTAACTGCAGTTTCATATCTGACCCATTACTATGCTATCGTAACTAGCACAAGATATAAAACATGATTTTTAGCTTCCCCTCCACAAAAAGTCTTACTATAGTGACTCATTTTTTTTCTGTGGAAAAAAAGGATTAATGAAAGGGCTTAGAATTCATATTTCACAAGATTTCAGGTAGACTGGGAAGGCTTCAAATGTGGTCCTTTTCAAAGAGACCATACTTGACTATCTGCTTTCCCAGATCCAGCCTAACAGGAGGATGAATTACTAAGTAGTGCCTTAAAAGGCTACCAAGTACCTTCCTCACAGCTGTCTGTGAGGTAGGTGGTGGGCGATAAATTTTCTGCCATGGTAGCCCATGAAACAAAGAAAAATGCAAAACGACCCTTAGTTCTATGTGGTTCCCTTCCAATTCTGCAGTGACGGTGGAGGGATTGCTGGAAGGCCAAGAATCATAAAATCCAACAAACCTTGTAAGTGAACTTGTATTGTAATCTTTTGCAGGGAGAATAATACAGTTCAATCTGTTCCCACCTTGTACAGACAGGAAAACTAGTTAACTGAAAAACAAATTTATCATAAAGCATTCAACAGAATTTACAAGTTTACAAAAGTAAAATCAAATGCCATTTCTTTAACACAGTTCTCACACTGAAAATAATTTTATTTTGATATAAGTCTGATATTACAGTAAATGTTACAAATCAGACAGTTCGTTTTGTAATCTCGAATGCACTATACAGATAGACAAAATAAGATCTCCTATATAAGATGTTAGCTTCACTTCATTAAATTTTCTTTACAAGGCTTCCATTAAAATTCCTACACGCCCGGGGAAAATGATCTATGGCTTTCAAAAGCATACAAACTAAATTTTGAACTAGCAGGAGGTATACCGAATAACAGAAAGATGAAAACAGGTAAGAAGCATTTCTCAATATCAACACATGATCAACTGAGTGCATCCTTTTATTGGTTTTGTTATGACTCGCCAGAACAAGAACTGAACTCTTCATTATCAAAACCCATGCCACATATAGTTCAATGGTACCCATATGAAAGTTCCGTTATTTCAGTTTGTGAAAGTGGAAAAGGGGCTTATTAAACTGGAATGTTTTAATAAGGCGTACTGTCTTCTGCGAAGTGGAATTATTTCCAGGGCTTCTTAGACTTCTTTTACTCCTGACCCCTTCAGCTTCCTAAACTACGGACTGCAACCCTATGGGGTCTGGACCCACACTTTTAAGTACTACTGAAGCACGTCTGAGGCCAGATGTTAATTATCTTCTCGGTGTAATAGTCTTGGTGAGTTACTGTTTCAAATATCAATGGTAATGAACTGAAGGAGACATTTTAAGAAATGCTTCTTACCTAGCATACTTTCAGATTGCTTTGAAGAGAAACAGGTACAGGCAATTTTGAACAATGGGACTTCAAATAGGAATGGCTATACTCTTAGGGGAAAAAAGGATTAACGAAAAGGCTTAGAACTCATATTTCACAGGATTCTGAACTGAATACCTAGAATGAGAAGATTAATCCTTCTGCCAATGGAAGCCCTGCTCTGTGCAAACATATTGTGGTATTAATTAAACAATCACAAGTTTGAGGTATTAGCTGAAAAAAATATATACACCTATACACACACACACAATACACAGAGTATTCACAAATCTAATGGCCCCGAGACCAGCAAACGTTGGCATTAAATGAAAAGAAAAATCTTATCTTGATCAGGGGAAAGTTATACATGCAAAGGGAATTTATTAAAAAAAAAAGGCTACACAATCCTTAATATAAGGAGTGTTTTAAAGTAATAATGTTATTTAAAAGAAAGCTGCTTCCATTCACATGAAATATGTATCGTAACAGTAATTAAACTAAAAAGGAAGTCTGAATTCTATTACCATGTTTCCCATCAGATCAACAACATGTAAAATTCCTTAAGGGGATCCTCATTCTATTCATTTTCTTTTAAAAATATGTAAAGGGATTTGCTGGCACTAAAGCTTTAAATGACAAACATATGTGCCAGACTATTCTTTCTGTACTCATCTGTTCAGTCACACAATTTGTAAAGCAGCACATGAGCCGTTCGCTGTGGTGTTCCTGTCCATATGGGGAGGGAAGGTTTCACGTAGCTCTCCTTTCTGCCTTATACACCATGAGGCTGAGGAATTATCAGATTACTTAACTGGATCCAAGTCTCCCACAGGGACACTAAATAAGTTTTTCAATGAACCTTTTGATTCTTTCACATAATACTTGCTTAATAGGAAAGCTGCCTTGATTAGAACTCAGGCGAACCACCAAGAATTTTTGTTACTGCCTTCACATTGGTGGGAGATTCAATTCATACGTAATTAAGCAAAAAATGAAACCATGTTTTATCAGGTAGTGTTACGTCGCCAGATGACATACATATTTTGAAATATTGAAGATCAAGAGGAGACAACTTTAAATCAATCTAAGTGCAGCAACTAGGCCTTTCAGTTGTTAGTGTGGGGTTGGAGATGCAGGTTTTTTGGCTTTAGGGTTTGGGGGAGAGTGAGTTGAGGGGGGAAAAGCAGAAAACCAATCTAAGTAGAGGTAGTACAAGCAGATTAGTCTAAGGAATTAGTGTAATGATGCTCATAAATAAGGGCTTCACTACTTCTTCCAGAGTATTTGCATAATATCATTCATATTTTACGTTAAGGGTATGAAACACATAGTTACAGATGCATCCAAATCCAATTAGTTCTGAAATGAATTATCTTCACTTTTAAAGAACTAACCTGAAATTACTATGCAACGCTGACAGTGAAGTCCTCAACAATTCTAGAAATTCGCCAAGGTGGCAACTAGCACCAAGCCATCTGTAACTACAGGGCAAGGGAGAACAAAACGGACCAGACTCAGGAGTGAGATTCTACTTTGTCTCAATTCACTTACAAAGACATTAAAATGTGTTATTCCATATGACTGTAGATGCTTTAATCTGTTGCTAATGTGAGGAATTTAAGGACATGGTGCGAAATATTTCTTTGATGCCAACTGAATAAGATAGCGTGAAATACCTACAGCACAGTGCAGCTTTACTCCATGATGGGGAGCCTGTGGACAGGGATGACAAGTTTTGCTTGGAATCTGAGCTGAACACACACCTTTTATAAATAATAATATTTCACAGGCAAAAAATTTTTCTTTGAAATGAATGTCAAACGTGAAAAATCTCCCACCTCAAGGTGGCCAAATCTTGCCTCACATACCTCAAAATACTAAGAGGCATGGGCCTTTTTTTTTTTTTTAAACCAGCATGCAGGAAGTATAGCAAACCCAACTTTTCTCACCCCCAGAATACAAAGCAGCAGAAGCTCCCGCGACCTGGTCAGCAGGGTACCCTAAAATTTGCTCAGCCATTATTAGTGATTACAATCAATTTTAGAATGTTCTTTTCTCAAGCATACTTTGCTTTAATATTTTATAAGATTTGATGGAACACACCAATACAATAAAAGCATAACACTGTCTAGAACCACGTATAAGTTAGCATTATACAACTTCACTTAACTTTACCAATGTCATCAATACCCTCAAACTCCAAATTAAAAGAAAAAGTATTATTAAACAGTAGGGTTGAATTCAAAGAAACTACCCCCATTTATGCCCACTGTTCCTGTGAAAACTGGAAAAAGAAATGGATGAAAATATTATAATTCTAATCCAAATTTGTATGTTTTCTAGTGACTATAATACTTTCAAAATAAATAACAATGATCTTTTGTAAAGATTTACGTCCTTTATCTGCTAACAGCCCACTCTGCAGGCTGAAGGAAATACTTCAAATTGTAATTCCCTTTTAAGTATGCTATTTATTCTAAAGGCCACTTTTCTAAAAATTAAGTAAAACATGATTGGGTTTTCTACTATTCCTTAATTACTATGATGTTATATAATTTATGATGCAACCAAGCAATTCGAGTGAGTTACTTGGAAAAAAGAGATACGACAGGACAATTTTAGGGAAAATGGCCATTTTAGCAGGAATTTATTAGACTGACAATAAATTAGCTAAGTTCAGAAATAATTTCTAAACACAGTGAGCACTGCTACTATTACCAAATTTCTAGGATTCTCATCAAGTAGAAAAACTGTCAAAGACTTGTTCTTGTTAAGTGAGTATGAAGCAAAATGATCAAAATATGACAACTGTTTGATGTAGAAAATTTCAAATAAAATGCTCTCATACTCAATTTACAGGCACAAAAACCAATATCCAACTGCTTACATCTGTTTCTAATTGATACTAATGGATTTCATCACAAAAAAGTGTGTATTTTCTGTTAAGATTAAATTTGCTTCAAATGGCGAGTTGATTTTGAGTGCAGAGTGGCGCTACAGAGACTTCCTGTAAATGACTATTCTACCTGCCACTATATTTCTGCTCATCTTTGCACAGAGTCAAACAGGTCAAATAATTTTGCAAGTTATCTATCTAAAAGTCTGGTAGCTGGCAATGGTGTTAAAGGCATAAGGCTTAATTTCAGTAGCAACTTTTCTTACCACCTGCTTACAAAAGAATTAATTTACTTTTGAGACCAAGCATGAAACAAGCACTGAGAAAACGCAAATTTCTACAGGGGAAAGTCTTTTCTTTCATAAATTTTAGAAGCTTTTAAATGGACAGATTGGTTGGGGGCGGGGCAAAGGGATATATTTACTTTCAGAATTTCAAAACTGACATTTACTTCTCAAGAAATGTCAACACTAAGTATCTGTATATCCTTTTTATTGTATTTATTTTGAAATTAATGATAGCTTTTCATTTCCTCACATTGCTTAGCAATTCATAAAACTAAATGGCAAACTGATAATCTACACCAGTTCAATTCATCTCAACATATATTCAGGAATATACATTTAAAAATATTAAATTCTTCTAAGCAGATAAAGCTAGAAGATTTTTTTTTTACACAAAGTTAAACTGCCTTTAAAAAAAAAGTGTCATTGTTTAAACTCCACACACTGGATACCCGACAAGGAAAATGTAACATGGTCATACAGTTATTCCATCAGTGAGCTGAAGTGTTTCATGGAGCTAAACTTCTGAGATTTTTAAATATAAAGTCAATAACTTGTATATACACAAAACTTTTTTTTCATAAATATTTACATGACAAGGGAAAAAGGGAATCACTATAACTGGAAAACTGCTAGAGGTATGATAATCCCTTTATGAATAATCTGTAATCAAAGAATTAGGTAAGCACTGGAAGTAAAACTAAATAACAATGAAGAGATGCATAACTAAATCACGAATTTTAGTTTTCCATTTCTTATTATGTAAAGAAGCCATTAACTGGTTTGAGTGCTATAGCGTAAGATTTCAGGGAGCAACTACTCAGCTGAGTTTTCAATATCCAACTCTTTTTCAAGATTTTACAACGAAACTACATTTCTTTTTGTACAGAAAACAAGTGTGCTGAAAGAGGTAACAGAACGCCCTGGCTCATCCTCCTCTGTAGATGCTCGTCAGCCGCTCTAACTCTTTACAGTTGTCCATGCTTAGTGCTTCTGCCTTTTTTCGTAGCCGATCATCCCTGTACACTTTTGCTGCATACTGCATGTCTGTTTCTTTAAACACAAAAACAGTTTTAAAAATTTAAGAAATCATTACATTTACAGTGTCATTTACAGTCACTCCATAAAACTCTGCCGACTGAAACCCCCTGCCCAGAATCCTGTTATTGTTTCTCCCCCTCCAGCACCAAGCACTGGAGGTGGAGTTGGGTTTGGACCCTAGTTCTGTCACTGACCACGAGCTGAGTCATCCTGGGCCAATCAAAGGAACTCAGAGATGAGCTGGTTTCTGAGGCTCCTCCACCTGTCACCTCCCTCTGCCTGAAGCCGCCCTTCTCGCCCGCCCCGATGGGGAGCCCCCTACGCTCCTCGGGACACCTCATGCCCCACCGGGACAGCCTGCTCTAACTGTCCTTGCAGGAAGCCTCAACCTTGCTCTCTCCCCAACTTGTACCCATGTTGCCCAATTCTCTCCTCTGGGCCCATGCAGCATGAGCTTCCTTCACGTAACAATCTTATAAATACTTGACAGTTGGACTGTTTCCTAAAAGGATTTTCTATCCTTACAAACGAGAAAGTTAAGCAGGTTAATGAATGAATGGTTAAATAATCAGCCACGGAATAACATTCTGTTTTCAGTCATTGGTTTAGTTAGCTGGGTGCCTGCAGAACCTGCTGCCACATTCCACCGACACCTCTATCAGAGGAAGAGCTGCCCTCCGGGGGAACTGAAGGACTGCAGTGGACGCAATGCCACTGGGGTCTAGTAAAATTAAATATTAACAATAAGACATATGTAGCCTTGGGGCAAAAAGAAAAAACCTGCAGAAAGCAAAAATTTGACTCTGCCCCAGAATATAGGAGTGAGGGAGGGTGAGAATGCTACCATCATAACCAAAATGTATAGGGAGCACTTTTCATACGAAGGGACACAGGAGGAGAGATAGCCCGCATTTAAGATCCAGGCCATGACGACCACCAGAAGCACACGGGGTTCTACATGCTCTGAGTCTTAGTTTCCTCCTCTATAAAATGAGGGGGCTGAAGCTGATGATCTCTAAGATCCTTACTGGCTCTAAATGTTATGACTTTTTAAAATGATTAATAATACTTTTTGACAGAATTCCTGGTATCCCTTTCCTTTTAGAATTCTGCAATCATTTCTTTTTTTTTGGGGGGGGGGATCGGGGTTAAGTGACTTGCCCAAGGACACACAGCTAGTAAGCACCTGAGGCTGTATATGAAGTCAGGTCCTCCTGGCTCCCATGGGCCCGTGCTTTATCCATGGCACTACCTGGCTGCCCCTTAATTCTGCAACCATTTCAAGAAATACCACCCTGACCTTTTATCTTTAGGCACTGAGTTAACAGTTAAGGTTAACAGCTACTGACACTGTTATAAACTGATTGTGACCTTTGGAATAGTTTAATGTTAAACTAGTATAAACTAAATATTAAATCATATTGTAAGCATATTTTCTCATTTACAACACGAGGCAAAAATTTGTGAAGGTTATTGGAGGGGGCCTGTTTTATTGGCAAATGAACACATGACTTTTGAGGCTTCTCTGAAATGGTTATTAATAAAATGAACAACTGAAAACAAGATGTTATTCCATGGCTGATTCTTTAACTATTCATTCATCTAGCTCCTGAGTATCCAACTCCTCCTTATTAATCTATCTCCTGGACATTTCAATCCTTATTAGGAGACATCTTGAGGTTGAGAAAATGAAGACTCCTCAGGAAAGTCAGCCATGTGTTTTGTGGTAAAATTGATGATCCTATGTTCAAGGCCATGCAGCTGGCTAACGTAGGATCAGAATCCTTCCGTGTTCTCTCCATTACATCAGACTATCTTACAAAACAATTCTATAAAAAAAATCATTTTAGGGCACTACAGGACACAGAATCTCCTCATTTAGCAAGTGGAAAAAAAAAAGGCTCATAGCGGTGAAACGATCTGACCAAAGCACACTGTTAATTTCATGTCGTGCATCTCTGATAGTAACACCCTCTGATCTGAATAAGTTCAAGTAGGTAATTCACAAAAGGATGAACTTTCCCCATTTTACAGATGAGGAAGCTAAGAGACCTGCCCATAATCACAGCGAATTAAATTCAGTCAGCTCTCAAACCCGGGGCTCTTAATTCCAACTGAAGTGCTGATTCCATTATATCACATTTTTCTCATTCAGTGCTAACTGGAAATATTGAGTATTTAGCAACAGATAAGAAGTAATAATGCAGCTACCCATCTGTAACAGAAAGATGACAATCCGTATGTATGCCTTCTTCAGCTTATGTTTCTTTCTTAGCTAACCATCTATACACCAGGAGAAATTTTGCTGGCATCTGGAGTGATATTTAAGCTTTACATGATGTCACACAAATATTACTTTGATGGGACCAAAAAAAAAAAAAAAAGATGAGAGAAGCACAGATTTGAGAGGGAAAGAGAGCCACAGAAACAGAAGGCAGGGAGAGAGAAAGACATGGGGGGGGGGAAGTGGTGGCGCATGCGCATGGGAAAATGAATGAGGATCACATGGGAAAGTATGGTACAAAGAGCAAGTCAGGGAATCTGTAGTAAATCTGCTCTTGAAAAATCTTAAAATGTTAATTATTTGTTCAACTTACTTTGTTGTCTTTCTTTCCAGCAATTATTTCGAATATTAGTCACATAATCTTCTTCTACACTTTTTTCTACCTTTTGTAATAACATTCCTTTATATTCATTCTTAAAATCCTTGTTGACGTAATAAACAACACCCAAGTTTTCTGTCTGCATTTTAATGGTTTGTCCCGAACCACTGTAAAACAGATAAATGCTTATTAGTTTTTATGAACTAAAACTAAATTAGAAAAAAACAAGTTACCAAAGTAACAGTAAAAATATGAAATTGACAATAATTCAGCTCAATTTTCAAAAAGCTATTCTGATCATTCTCTAAAATGAAATAATTTTAATACAATAAGTTTTATTTTGGATGTAAAAAGCAAACAAGGACAGAAAGGCCGGTGCTCCAGCTCCGGCTCCAGGCCACGCTGGAGCCATAGGAGGCGTCCACGGCCCTAGTCCCACAGCCTCCGGCAGAGGCCCGAAGGAGGGCCTGCCGAGAAAGCTTTCGACTTACTAAAAAACAGGAAGAAATACTAGCACAAAGACTACTGTTACTTGAAGAAATGGAGACTGATCGTGGTGGCCAGAAGACTGAAAAAAAAGCATCTTACATGAAAGCAGCTAAGCTAGCCAGTAAAAGGAATCAGAGCCTTTTAAACGATATAAGAACACTAGAAGAGCAACTTGAAAAAAAAGGTCCATTTACGGTCATATTCTGAAATGGTTAGTCTTCAGACTCTCCACTGGGCATCAGTAGAAGAAAAGGCCCCCAAGTGGGACCAGTTTCTCTTAGGAAGAACACAATATCCCACTGGTGTTAGATATCAAAATCCAGCAGGAAATGACATCAAAGATGCTACAGAGATATAACCACAAGAAAGATGTCATTTTTCCTTGGGCCTCTGATTCAGAACATCTGCTCAGGAAAGCAAAACTTGTCTGGACATTGTATAAATCCAAAGGAATTTGTTCATCTAAGGGAATATATTAATGTGTATTCTGTTACCTATCTCTTTGACAGTAGGGAGAATTTAAAAATTTACTGGAAATTTTGTCAAACCAAGATTGAAATACATTACAATCTTTTAAAAGAATGATAAGAATTGTTTTTACTTTTAATCTGTCATTTCATCAAACTTTTAAGAGTATAAAAAAAAATTTTGAAAGATGAACTAAATTAAATAAATGGTTAAAATGTAAAAAAAATAAAAAGCAAACAAGACTATATCATTGTCTGAATTTCTATGTAAGCAGAGATAGGTTGTATTTAAAACAATCATATAAATGCACTACATCTTTTAATGGACAAATCTCTATAGAATGAAGACAAAAAAAAATGTTCACTAGTTTTCCCAATCAACAAGCTTGACGTTAAGAAAACTAAATTTGTCTGGAATAAAAGATAAAGAATTTAACAGTACAATTCAAGATTCATTTCATATTCTGTGAGGAAGTGAGCTTCATGTAAACAAGTAGTAATATCAACGTCTCTTTATTCTATGCTCTATAAATAGTTACATATGCTAACATATACAGGAAAATGAAGTTTTTCCTCACTTCCTTACATCTACAGAAAGGAAGAAAATAATCATTTTAATTTTGCCTTGAAAGTAGAAAAGTATTATGTTATCACATCATCTTTTCGTACAAAATAGCTATCAAGTTTAATCACAGCACTTCTTTCCTTATTTATTTCATCCAACTAAATAAGCTAGATTAGAAAAGGAAAATAAATATACTTCACAGTCATTAACGTGGTAAAACCCAGAAAAAAAAGAAAATTACTCTGGTAATTCAAGTGGTGGAAAGACCACTAAGGAAACCAATCCATTATAAAATAATGAGCTACTTACGATCTGGGATATAAGGAGTAAGGAGGATTAGAGACCATGAGCTGGCTTAACAAGGACACGAGGATCAACACCACAATGGGCATCAGCTGTATAAACACAGAGAAACCTCCCTGCAAAATACAAAGAAAAATAAACTAGAACCTAAATGTCTTCTCCAATGAAAAGTTACACAAAATCCAGGAATCTCTGAATGAAAGAGGTCTTTAGAAAATACTCAACCTAACTTGTGCATTTTACAGAGGAGTAACAGGAGACTCAGAGAGGTGGGACTGTCCCAGGTCACAGACAATACTCAGGGGGAGATATAAGCCTGGAACCTCCACACTCCTAATCCCAACGCACTTTCTTGAAGATACCATGCTGTCTTGTATAGTTTAGCTTCTAAATAGAAACTGAATTATAATTGAAAGTTAAAACCTACAGGGTCATTAACAATAGTAAACAGATTGACAGTGATCCTGGGTTATGTGAGAGGAAGCCTGTGTTTCCTAGAGCTTGAGTTGTGAATTTTATTTTTTGGCTAGGGAATGGGGTTAAGTGACTTGCCCAGGGTCACACAGCTAGTAAGTGTTAGGTGCTGTATCCACTGAGCCACCTAGCTGCCCCTAGTTCTGAAAAATTTTGTGCCAAATTTCTGAAACTTGGATTATTTCCTCCACTTACAACTATGTTTCCTTCTGATTAAAGTGGCCATGGTTTCTAACATCTTGTAACAAAGTATTTTTCTACTCCTCCTCCCACCCAGCCTATCAATTATACTAGCCAACATGTTAAAAAAAAAATTTTTTTTAAAATGTGAATAATAAGGGGCAGCTAGGTGGCGCAATGGACAGAGCACCAGCCCTGAAGTCAGGAGGTCCTGAGTTCAATTCCAGCCTCAGACCAAACACTGGACACTTACTAGCTGTGTGACCCTGGGCAAGTCACTTAACCCCAATTGCCTAAAAGAAAAAAAAATGCAAATAATTACCCCTTTCCTGAACATTAAGTTTGCTTGAAAGATAACATAGAAGTTGGAACCTTACAAGCAGATTTTTCTTTATAATGAGCATCTGACCAAGTCAGAGTCATAAGTTACAGATTACAGTAAAATCATAAGCAAAGAAACAAACAGTGGGTGGGAGGGTACAAAAAGGCCCATGAGCTGGTTTGTAAAACAGACTGATTAAAATCTACATGAAATACTAGAGAACAGGTGATGTAAGCCTAAGCCTAAATCAAAAAATCGTTTTGGTCCAGACTTGATTTTATCACTGAGAGTGACTCCCAATGAGGAAAACTCCTTCACCCAATGCAAGCCAAACAATCATTTTTTCAAAGTCACAACTGCAATTGCAGGAAGACAGTCCTAGGTAACTTTACTCATGAAACCCTGAGAAACCATATAGTCTTGAAACTAAGTAGGAGGTAGGGGGTATTTCATCCCACTGTGTAAAAATACACTTGAATGAAAAAACAGATCTGGAAGTAAGGAATTTATTATGAAGAAAAGTAAGTGCCCCTGAACAGAAACTGGTAAAAATGAATTCAATAGGGCTTAACTATCCAATTGAAAGCATTATATGAATAGAAATAGCATTACCCTACACATCTGTATGATTTTTCCAGATCTTCACAGCACTTACATATAATCTAATCTGATCCTCACAAAACAGTAGGCAAGGAATGTAATGGTATTCAATCAATCAACAAACATTTATTAAGCACTGACTGCGTGCCAGGCACTCTGCTGACAGCTAGGGCTACAAAGAAAACGCAGTCTCTGCCCCAAACCCTGAAATAACTTACATGCTGATGGCGGATAAATAGCCACATAGAGTATAAAGGGAAAGTTGATCCACAGTGGGGAAAGTGATAACGCCTCCCAAAGAAGATGCTCACTGTTCTAAGTCTTATTTTTAATTTTATTTATTTATTTTTTAGGCAATTGGGGTTAAGTGACTTGCCCAGGGTCACACAGCTAGTAAGTGTCAAGTTTGGTCTGAGACCAGATTTGAACTCAGGTCCTCCTGACTTCAGGGCCGGTGCTCTATCCACTGCGCCACCTAGCTGCCCCTCACTGTTCTAAGTCTTGAAGGAAGCCAGGAATTCTAAGAGGTGGTGCTGAAGAGGGGGAATGCTCTATACAAAGGGACAACCACCACAAAGGCATGGTGACATGAGATGAGGCTGCGAGAGAGGATGCTGATGGAATAATGTATAAGGAGACAGAAATGGGTCAGTTTGCAAGAATCTTCAAATGCCAAAGAGAGGGGTGTTGTTTGATTCTCAAGCTAATAGGGAGTCACTAGAGCTTACTGGGTAGGAGCATAGTATCATCACACCCGGGTTTTTAGGAAAATCAGACTTGAGACAGGGAAACAAAGCATTAGGCCACTACTGTAGTTTAGGAGAGAGGAGACAGAGGCTTGAACCAGGCCAGCAGCTATGTGAGAAAGGGGAAAATGTAGAGATGTTTTCGTATACATTTTTCCTGGGCCACCCAAAATCCTCTGACCGGCCAAAAGTTCTGTAGAGAGAAAAGTAACAAGATGTGACAGCTGAACAAATGTGCAATGGACTTGGCCTAATTTCATGATTTCCACCAGTGCCATTCAGCAGCACGTGAGTAGGGGCAAAAGATGCATGACGAGAATAATCTAAAGTTGGGGCTTGGCAAGATATACATGATTAGATGAGGGAGCATTAGATCAGACAGTGAAGGACAGTGCAGAGCTGACCTGGTCCCCCAAGGGGTGAAGAAGGGAGGACAGGACAGGCTGAGCTGGGGCAACAGGCTGTGGAAGTCCTGGAGGTGACAGTGGGGATGAAGAATGGGTGCAGAAGAGTAAGGCTCAGGGACAGACAGACTGATGAAAGAGCATGATCAGATAGGGGAATTGGGTGTTCTCTGACGTGGAAAAGAGTGCTTCCAGGCGAAGGCAGGATGGAGAGTATGACCATCGCTGTATGAAACAGAGAGGTAGATCATCCGAGTGGAACAGAATTAAATACTGGATATTTGAGAAACCGCGGGCCTGTGGTGAAATGATTGCTAGTGAAGGACTAAATTCACTGAGAAACAAGGAAGAACGTCCTGACAGTCAGCAGGTAACAGTCATTAGGACCTGGCAGAGTCTGAACGTGACAAGGGGGAGCAAGGACAATTCAGACCCACGGGGACCAGAGTTGTGGGGTATGAAAGAAGTTGCAACTAATGCAGGAAAAGATGGCCAGTGACGTAGTGTCTTCTAGAGGGAGAACACAGTGACTACCAAAAGATGAAAAGAGGGAGGAAGAGACCTATAATGAAAGAATATGTATTAATTCTAGGGTTCCAGAAGGCACAGTGAAAAAGGGGTGAGGGGAAGCAGATCTCACATGGGATGTAAGGGGTATATGCAACAGTGATGGAGAGACGGCTGGGGTTGGGATGGGAGTTTGTCCTTCAGCCATCAGGGGTTCACTATCACAGGAATGGGAAGAGTAAGAGAGGAATACACCAGCCCCTGGGGGGTGAGTACTGGCAGAGTATCAGTAGATGGGAGGGCTGCTGATAGAGGCTGGTGACCACAAGGTTCATGGTTTCCATCTCCCTCTCCCCTACTCACCAGGTTCAGGCCCTCAAATGCCTAGCCTCAATGTAGGAAGTGGTACTGTGTCTTGGGGGCATCCAGAAATCCGACCTAGGGAGGGAAACAACAGAGCCTGATGGTGCTGTGTCCCAGGCATCTGGGAGCCCTGGAGGCAAGCATGAGGAAGGCCAGGTGGTATGATATCCTGAGGTCACTTAAGTTTCATGTGCCACGTGTATGGAAAATCAGTTTCAAATTCTAGGAAATATGTAAGATTTATAACTACTAATTTAGTAGGGTTTATCTTACTAAACATACTCTATTAAATAAAAAGAGTTATTCATACCTTTAAGAACTAACTTGGCAAATGGAAGTTTCTGATCAAGCAGGAAGCTTTCAATATATTGGTACTTGACAAATAAATAGCTAGTTTGAAAACAGAATTTTAGACTTGGAAGGAGCCTTAGAGATAATTTATTCCAGTCTTCATTTTACAGAAGAGGAAAAGGCTGTACAGCTAGTCAGTGGAAGAATAAAACACAAATCCCTTGCCTTCCACTCTGATGACCCTGTCAGCCCACCACATTCTCACTCTCCATATTCCCCGAGAATACAGAGCAGGCGCTTCCTCATCAACCAGTTTTTGTCTTCCAGGAAAAGAGAAGTAAGAAACACTTGAGGCAAAGGTGGGAGGCCTGGACACTCTGTCAGGGCTCTCCTAGGCTAAGATGCCAGGGCATGATTACAGTGAAGACTTTAGATAACTGCATAATTCTAAAGTGAAACAAACTGGACTAGAGTCAACGAAAAAAAATTCTAAACACACGAAAAGTGAAGAGATGGTATTCAGGGAACAAATACTCATAATTTGTTGCTATGGAAGACTAAGCAAATACCGACGAAATACCTGCAACATGTATTCCTCATTTCCGTCACAAGAAAAAAAAGTTAACTTAGGCATGTTTTTGAATTGGTACTTGTGAAGTTCTAAATAAAAGTTTATCCATTAGCCAGGAATTGGTCAATAGGTATCTAAACATGATATAAAGTTTTATGTGTTTGTGGGAGAACCTGCTCATGGATGGGCTAAAGCAAAAGTGAAACAAAGAACCTTGTTAAGAGAAAGAAGAATGGGGAAAAAAAAAAGAAATGATCTGATCTATGTTAAATGTGAAGGTAGCAACTAACTACTCAGACAGAGCAGTTAAGAAAGAAAGCTTCCTAGTGGGAAGCCGCCTTGGAGGGGCCTTTTCCCCATGGAGAAAAGCTCTCAGGAGAGACTTGGTAAGGCGGTGCTGGATGGAATCCAAAATCAAGGTTCAGGTGGTTGTAGAGGAAGCCCTGACATGAAACTGAGGGGCTGGGCCTGGAGCCCAGAGCAAGGAAAGAATGCATTTTCCCAAAGGGTAGGATTTAAAATAGCTGCACAATTTTGGAAATAGGTTGAACCTGTAAAAACAAGATCTTTCATGTTACATTAAATTTATTAAGTAATGAAGCTTTATACTTGTAATTAACTTCATTATTTTACAAAGTAGGAACTTTGTGCTCCCAAAATTTCTCACACTATCCTGAGGCAAAATCGAATACTAAATGGGGCTTTGAAAGGTGTTTCTGGTCTACTTAGAACAGGACTGTGGGAAAGGATTAGGGGGCAGGAGGAGTGAGGTGTGGTAGGCTGTGATTCCAAGACGTAAGGCGCAGAAAAATCCATATTCCCTTTGATGGTGCAACCAGAAGTGATTAGATGTAAATGCAGATTTGCCTTCTTATTTGTGGATGCTGTGGACAGTTTCATTACAAATTGTGCTTATAAGTTTGTTTTTTCATACAGCCCTCTCTATGAATCATACCACTTAAGTTAATTTCTGGGAACAAGGTAAATACAAGAAATGACATCTCAAAACATACATCGCCTCTTTCTTCTTCTCTCTCATGTCCACTATGCCGATGTTGGTGGTGATGACTATATCCAGCTCGTCCATTAGAAAATGAATGTACACTACCTGAAGAGTTAAAAGCAACGTTAAGCCAAAAATAGCAGTCATGCCCAAAAAGCTAAAAAAAAAAACCAATCCAAAACTCAATAACTATAATCAAATTATTATCATTCAGAATACTCACAATCACTGTTTAAGTGACATCTACAGGTCAAATACGAAAGGTTTTTTCTTTCTTTTTTTGAAGTAAACCATGTCTATCAATTATAAAGATTCTTTAAAAAAGTTTTAGGCTACTTTTAAATTCAAATAACTTGGGTTTTAGGCGCAACAGAAACAATAAATATATGGTATTTAGCAGCAAAATTTAAGATAGCTACGTAACAGATGGATTACATTATATTTGTTCAGATTGTGTATCAAAGAAAAATAGTTACCATGGATAAGATGGTAAACTGTATTCTATGGCTAGCAGAACTGAAGTTCATATCAGCTATGAAAAGAAAATTTCTAAGTCATTTTCATCAAAATCACTGATTGTATGATGCCTACATCCCAGGTTATTCAAGTTTAAAAGCTTACCATTTTGCATAAGGATTTTATAAAGACCCTGTAAGATATTTCTAGATCTCACTCCCATGGCACCCCTTTCATAAGAAATGAGTGTTTTAGGGCAGCTACATGGCGCAGTGTATACAGCTCTGGCCTTGGAGTCAGGAGGATCTGAGTTCAAATCCAGCCTCAGACACATAACACTAGCTGTGTGACTCTGGGTAAGTCACTTAACCCCAATTGCCCCACCAAAAATAAATAAATAAATAAATAAATAAATGAAGTCAAAAAGAAATTAGTGTTTTACCATTATGTCAAACTCAGTACTTCCCCAAATCAAATTCATTATCTTTGGCCGAAAAGGTAATTTTTTTTCCATATTAATGGTACCATTAATTTTTCCCATTGCTCAAGATCAAACTAAAATAATTTTATTAATTCAAAAACCATTTATTATTTAATACTTCACAATTTAGATAACAAATTTAGTTATTATTTTGCATTCACATAGTACCTTTGTTCTAAAGGACAAAATGTAGCTTATTTTTTAAAAAGTTACAGAATTGACTAAAATAATCAGTATCCTTCAGAAAAGGACAGGAGGCAAAACTCTTTTGTCTCATTAATTAGGAACATACTAATTTTACTAATGTATCACTACTAATTTATAACAGTTCAAACTGTCCCTGAAATATCTTTTGATTGAGTAAGGTTACTCTTCTTCAGTTATTGCAGCCACCCTGGTTGAGACCCTCATTTTTTTCATACAGACTGCTGTAATAAATAACCTCTTAAATGAACTTCTTCCTCTAGTATCACATCCTCTACACCAAAGCTTGAGCCGTCTTTTTAAAACACTGCAATCTTCTTTCACTTCTCTTCTCAAAAAACTATAACCTCTCTCTACGACTTGACTCAGATACGCAATGCCTCCTAAAATCTAGCTTCAGCTTATTTTTCCAGCTCTGTTTCATAATATTCCCCTTTATGTAGTTGATGCTGCAGCTAAACTGGACCGCTCTTCATCGCTCATCATTTTTTCCTTTCCTACATCTTTGTTCCTCATACCTGGAACAGACCTTCTCCCTCTACTCATCTGTTATGCATTGCATTGCCCCGCCCCATTCTCCCTCCTATTACGGACCCAATTCAAACGTCAATCACTTCCTGAAACCTGCAATGACCTGCCCAGGTGAAAATGATCTTTTTCACTCTCAAATTTTTCATTGCCCTCGTCTACTCTCATTCCATCTTGCATCATAGTGCTTAGGGCCTGCCTGTCTCCGGTATCTTGGGCAGTTTCTTGCATATAGCAGACATTTCATGAATAGTGGTCAAATTTTTTGCTGAATAGACAAGACCTTTTAGATCTTATCTACTAGATTAAAGCCGTGGCAATGCCATTCATTAATTGATAAGGCTGTTCATTAGCGAATACACAAATAGGGTATTTCACTGGCAAAGGCAAACTCTGGATGAGGAAGCTTCCTTTCCCAATGCTGTTCAGCATCTCCTAGTCTACAAGAGCTGTTCAGGGCACTTCGGGGTCAGTGACTTGTCCCAGGTCATCATACATGCTTCGTATGTCAGAGGCAGAAATGGAAACCGGGCAGGCCTTCCTGACTCTGAGGCTGGTTCTCTTATCCACTACACTACAAAGTCTTGGCGTGGTTAATTATATTTATCTTGTTGTTTGTAACCTCTATTAGGCATCAATTTAACAGCTTCACTCCAATTACTCTATGTACCTGAACACAATAAAATTGTGTTTATTTAAACACATGGTCCAAACTTTTCACTAACAAATTACCATTAATGATATTTTGCAAGCAGGAAACTTGTTTAAATGAAGTAATTTCTGTATGGTCAAAGAGTTTACACCCAAGGTATTTTTGTCTTCTAGCAGTATCAGCAGCTCACATTTGCACAGAGCTTGAAGGTCTGTAAAGTGCTTTTTAAATATTACCTAGTAGCCCTCAGAGGTGAAACCGTATGTCCTTAAGGTATTACTTATTATCTAATTTCCTGCCTCTTCCCTCTAGCTTTTCTTGTAAAGAAGAGCCATGAGCTTCATTGCCCTCAGAAGACAAGATGACATTAAAGGCAGTAATAGACACCCATTTCCACCTCCCAGACTTGCTCACAACTCTGCATCTTGAGCACAGATAAGAGTGATAAGACAAACTGCAAAAGACTAAAATGAAAATCTCTAACTTCAATAAATAAGCTGTATATGACTAACTATTACAGTACCTGATGGAAATCCACCACCAAAGAATATATTAAACAAATCTTCTGGAGTTATATCAGCTTCACAACCTCTGTGGAAATTAAATCTACCATTGTTTTGGTGATTACATGCTTGGTCTTCATTGCCTGTGAGGTCATACTGCTTTCTTTTTTCAGGATTGCTTAAAACAGCATAGGCATTTCCAATCTCTGAAATATTTAGTGAATAAAAGTAAGCAAACCACATTATAACAGATATGTTAAGCTACATACAGGTAAATTAAATCAAGAAAATCTTGGTGATCAATCAACAAGATGGTAAAAACGGTTATCCTTCAAAGACAAGTTTACAGTATTTCTGCAGTTACACAGGTAAGAATCTCCAGGTCCTCTATTACATTAACCCACTAAACACTGACTCTCATTTCTGTCCTAGCTGATGTTCCTTTTCTATGTGTACCAGCCCTTCTTCCTCTGGTTTAAGCTCAAGTCCCTCCGCCAAGGCCCTTTCCTTACCCTGAGTGAACATGACAGCTCTCCCGCCTCTCATCTTTCCTAGGTAGACAATCTCACCTTTCTGAAGTTTCCTATTTCACTTCTCTGCTCACTTGATGGTGCCTAAAGGATATGTATGGTTTCAATGTGCATACTCTTTGACCCAGCAATACCCCTTCTAGGGCTGTATCCCAAAGCAATCATACAAATGGGAAAAGGACCCACATAAACAAAAATATTTATAGCACCTCTTTCTGTGGTGGCAAAGAATTGGCAATTGAGAGGATGCCCATCAATGGGGGAATGGCTGAACAAGCTGTGGTATATGAATGTAATGGAATACTATTGTGCTATAAGAAATGATGAACAGGCTGACTTCAGAAAAACTTGGAAAGACTTGTACTGACTGATGCTCAGTGAAGTGAGCAGAACCAGGGGAACACTGTACACAGTAACAGCCACATTGTGTGATGACCAACTTTGGCAGACTTAGCCCTTCTCAGCAATGCAAGGATCTAAGACATCTCCAAAGGTGCCATGATGGAAAATGCTATCCACATCCAAAGAAGGAACTACGGAGTATGAACGCAGACGGTAGCATACTATTTTCTCTTTTTTTTCCCTTCTGTTTTGTTTCCTCTTTCTTGTGGTTCCTCCTATTGGTTCTAATTCTCCCTTACAACACAACTAAAGTGAACATATGTTTAACAGGAATGCATATGTTGAGCTTAGATTGTGTGCCATCTTGGGGAGGGAGGTGGAAAGAGAGGGGGAGAAAAATTTAAAACTCAAAAGCTTATGGAAGTGATTGTTGATAACTCAAAATGACAAACAAACAAATAAATAAACAAGTAAGCAAACAAATAAATAAATAACTAAAGGGATGTGGTTCACTTTTCACTGATTTACATGCTTATCCACCAATTTTCACCAATGTCAGGACAAAGTTATCAGGATATACATGATTATAATTCCATCTTGTGGCAAGCTACATTCTCAAGCAGAAACACACCAAGTTCAAAAGCTAGTCCTATCTACATCCCAATTGTGGTAGTTAATGTGTAACAGCAGATGACTAGTCTTTCAACATTTCATAATACTTTAAGATCTAAAAAGAAGCCTTCCAGAACATCAGGTAGCTCCTCAACAAAGGAGCCATGGGAGGAACGGAGAAGGTAGGGAAAGACTGTACATAACTACATAACTGGAGGCAGTATCTAAATCAGTAAGATCACAAATCCAACAAAGTATATTAGTATGCCTAATTTTCCTGACTAAAGTTAATGTTTCTCTAACACCAATAAGTAAATGCTATTTCTTGTGGACTTGTCCATTTGTATCTCCCACAGTGGTTGCACATACAGGAACACTTAATAAATTCTTATTTTTAATGAATGAGCCAAACATTTCCTCTGATACACATCCATTCAGAAACTCTATAATTAAAAAAACAAACACAAAAACTGTATTGCTTGTAAGACCTAAAACTAATAGAATCTGTTATTAGAATTTTCCATACAGCTGGAAAGTCTGTTCAAAAAAGACTATAATATAACCTGATTCTATGTGTTGATAAACTAATACAAGAATAATCAAAATTTTTAGAGCTAGAAGAGACCCTGAAGATCACTGATCTTTCCCCCTCATTTTACAAATTAGGAACCTAAGGCTCAGAGGGGTTAAATAACTTACCCACAGTCACACAGGTGGTAAGTTTTCAATTGCATCAACCAGGAAGGAAATATATGTCAATTCTTCATAATAAATACCATGAGTTACCCATATTCTCTTGTGGTATTGAAATTGTTTTGTTGAATATTGCTTAAAATTAAGAGGCTCATTACAAACTAAGCAGATGTCCATCACTTGAAGAATGGTTGAATAAAACTGTGAGACACAAGTGAAACAGAAACTAGAACACTGTTTTGCTATAAGAAGTGATGAATATGAGGAAGTCAGACAAAAATGGTAAAGACATGAACTGAAGAGAGGCAAAAGAAAGCAAAACCAATGGAATAAGATATAAAATGACTACAATAATTATACTGTAATGTAATAATGTAAATGAAAACAGCATCTAAAACACCAGCATTTAAATTATACACAATGTCAAATCTTGATTCCAAAGACCTGATGATGACACATACTTCCTCTCGACAAAGGAGCAAATTTGCTTTGTTTACCTTTTTTCTTGCTATAAGAAAGTCTTTGGGGGATGAAGGGTGGAATAAGATTGGAAAGTAACGGCTTTGTAAAAAAGAAAAAGCCCTAAGAAAGCAAAAAGTAAGATAAATGAACCAGCAGCTAGAGATTAAGAAAACAATCTGTTAAAGGATCTGACTGTAATGCTGAGAGCTATAGGACAATGCCATCATGTAAAAGCTTTGCCAAACCTTCTTGTTCCACATGATATGAATACTAATGCTAGCGACCTTCCTGCTAAGCAATAAAATATGAAACTATTTCATCAAAAATACTCTATGTGGCAATTTTTTTATTATGAAACTAGGTTTAATTGTATTTTCCCCCAAATGGTAATCCATTCCCTGTCTAGTAGTTATAGGTTACATCAACATATTTCGAGGTCCCATGGTTAAATTAGTTTGAGGAATGCTAGCCCAAGGCAGTGGGTACAAAAGCTTTAAGTATCTGACAAAGACTAGAGTACCTTGCTGATCAACATAATTTGGTGTCTTGACGTCAAGTACCAGAAAGCAGAAAGAATGACAGAACTACTAAGAACATTAAAGAAGAAAAGAAAGAACATTAAAAAGTGAATGACTAACAGATATAAGGAAAACACAGTAAGCTATGAAGTCTGAGAACCACCCATGTGACATCCCCACAAATCTATGATTACATATAGGTTTTCCCTCTAAATGCTTAAGAACCTAAGTGCTTTCCAGTGACACCAGTAGTGGGTCCTAGATGCACAGTCACCATGTCCTAGACTGAGCACACTGCAGGCTACTTTACTGGTAGACTTAACTGTCCATTAAGTTCTGCCCTACAATCATTACATTTATTTTCATCTTAAACATTGTTGTTATCACTGGAAATTGAAATTATAGTTTGCTTCCGGCTTGAAATGCTACCCTCCTCTCCTTCCCTGTTGTGTTAGCAGCACCTACTGAGACAAAACCTTAACCAAGAAAATTCTTTAAGTCCACAATTAAAGTAATCTCCTTCAACAAATTCAACTTTCCAAACTGTTCAATTTTAAAACTTTGTCTATACAATGTTCCCATCTGCAAGTAAATGAATGTAGAATTCATTCTGGAATAAGTCACAATTAAAGCTATGAGCTCTACCCTAGTTTTGTGATTACACTGCTGGAGAACACGGTTTCAGCTGGATTCATAAAGCTCATTTTCTTAAAGCTAAGTTATCCAATTGGGAAAAAAGGCAACTGTGGAGGGTCTATCACGCTTCAGGACATATTCCTCAGTGTCAGCTACTATTATTTCTCCCTCATGTCCTAAAGGAATAAACAGTAGGTTGAAGGGAACAGGAAACAAATGCGGAGAATTAACTAGGCTGTACCGGGCTCACTAAGATACCTTCAAGTGGGCATATCCTCTGACATATATTTTGTTACTGTTCAGTCACGGCTGACTCTTCGTGACCCCATGGACAGTTTTCTTGGCAAAGATACTGGAATGGTTTGGTATCTCCTTCTATAGCGGATTAAAGCAAACAGAAGTTAAGTGACTTGCCCAAGGTCACGGTGTCTGAGGCTGGATTTGAAATCAGATCTTCCTGACTCCAGGTCCCTAATAAACATTTATTTTGCATAAAATCTAAAAAAGAAGTATCAAAATTTAAAAACACCTAGAAAGGTTTTTTTATTCTTTTTAAAATTTATATAGCATTTTAAGATCTATAAAGAGGTTTAAATTTATTAGATCCTCACAAGCATCCTGTGGAGGAGCTGCCAATAATATCCCCATTTTAAAGATGAGGAAACAGGATGAGAGAGGTTAAGTGACCTTCCCAGGGTTGTACAACTAGGAAGCATTTTAGGCAAGATCTGAACAGTCTTCCTGACTCTAAGCTGTGCACTCTATGCATTATACTACCTGCCTCTCTCATTTTCATTCTTAAAATACATAATCTCACTCTATCTAGAGAATTCAGTTTCCAAAATCCATTATATTTTGAACATGAGAAATAGAAAGGGAAAAAAGACCTGAACAGTCATGTGGAGATGGCTGTAAAATTCATGCACAAAAACGCATACATTTTATTCTCAGTGAAATGTGTCACTCATGCCCTAATGAAAGGTATTATTTAAAGGCAATTCTAAGCATAGCAACAAATTAAGTGATAGTTAATAGAAAAGAAATAATCATAAAAATTAGGGAAAACAGATTCCAGATTTCAAAAAGGAGCACTCTGGACATTTCATGTAAGAGTGAAACAGTACCACACACATCAGTACACACCCTCCCTATGGGCACCACAGTTTATCAACTTACGATCCTGAGTGATCAAGAAAAGGCTACATCATATTCAATTGTCCCCCAGAAAAGTACTAAGAAGTACATAAACTATCTTAGAAATATTTTCATCATGAATGCTTAAAAGTGTTAGAATTTTTCAGCTGCTCAGAAAGATTCATTTCTTCGGAGTTCCAAATATCATTAAGGTAAACACTGGGTTAATTTGTTCATTGAAACAGGACCAGTACTAATTGTACTGTTAATACAAATAAC